GCACTAATCTTGTACCTGGGATTCATTGGTTACTAACATCAGTGTGGTCTCCTCCAGTGGTGACTGTTGTCCTGGACCAGTAAAGAGTTGCACTGAGCTGGCTGTGGGCCCCAGGCAAGTCRCTGCACACCTTACCACTTTACAGAGATTCTAAAAGAGCTGGGGGAAAGAAGGTTCAGTTTGTAAAGTTATCTCTAGTTGTGACATCAGACCTCCCTCCAAGACCCCATGGGTCTCCCTCCCATTTCTAGAAAGGCTTGGAAAACAGTCACTGCACTAGCCAACCCGAGCTGCTCGGGCCCCTGATCSAGTCAGTTCACAACCCATCAGTGTTTGTGCTGCTTGTCCTGGTGAAACTGCCCGCTGCCTGCATCCTGGAGTGRTTCTTCATGGGACATGCTCCAAGTCCTGGCCCCTGCCACCTCCCTTCTAGACCCTCTCCTCTAGCAGTGCCTGAGGCTGCTGGGTTGCTCTTAGTGTCTGGCCCCCAAACTGGATGTAAGATTGAAGAGAGGCCTGGAGTGGAGCCCAAGCCTGAGCAGACTCCCACCTCCCCAAATCTGGACACTCTGGCTCTATTAACACACCTAGAATTAGAATGGGGATGTTAACTTGTCCTAAACTCAGCCCTCTGAGCCTTGCTTGCTGTTTTGTGTCAATCCTCTGGTGTCCTGTGTTTGTAATCTGCTTCATGAACCCACATGTAAGGCATAAATGTGGTCAGGCACACCTGGATTGGGATCCTAGCCCTGTCACTCATGAACTCAGTCATCTCATTTATTTAAGTTACCAGTATCATGCAAGCTACGTAATTTCACAGACCTATGTTCCCTGGTCTGTAAGTGGAGATGACAATACCCTTCCTCGTGAGGGTTTTGTGAGAATTAAATGAGATAAAGCATACCAAGTGCTTGCATAGCRCCTGGCCTACAGCAGTAACTGGTGGCTGTAGAGGTGGTGGCTGATGGTAGTGAGGGATTTTATGGTGAACTGTAAAATCTCCTATCTGCTGTCAGGCTCAGAATGCTTGGAACAGTGCACCAGTTTCTAGAGAGGAGAGGATTTCCCTGAAAATGTTGGGGCCCGCCCAGGTTTAGTAAGCCAGATCTTGGTCTCTAAGCGCCCTCTGGTGGCCAATTCGAGAAAGTGCAGGTGCAGGAGAACAAAGGCAGGAGAGGCTGGCTGGGTGGAGCAGACCGCTTCACCCTGCATTTGGACCTCACCGCTGTGCAGGGTGAGCATGTCTTCTCTATGGGCCTTGCAGTGAGGAGAGGCGAGGTGACTTGTTTCCCAAAGATGATTCAGGGCATCCGACAGGCATTTTTTACCTGAATAGTTATGTATTATCATGTGTTAGAAAAAAGAGTAACTCAAATCCTCTCGTTTATGGATATTAGCATTTTAAGATAAATAAAAATATTTTTGTGAATCTAAACCCATTTAAGGAAAAAAAGTAAATAACAGTAGAAATGATATTCTATCAGGGCAAAACTCATAATTAAGTAGAAACTTGGGCAAATTTGGTGGACTAGATTATTTGTGATTTTCTGCATAGAGTAAGTTTATCATTTACACTTTTCCTCACAGTAATATTATAAAGTAATTCTTATYACTATTATTTATTTGTTTTACTGAAAAAAATAAGTGGCCCAACTGAACTTAGGCAAATAAGCAAATTCAACACAACGGTGTGGAGAAAGTCTTTTCACCAGTGGTACTGAGACAACTGGGCATCCATAGGCAAAAAGGTGAATCTAGACACAGACCTTCCAGACTTCGCAAAAGTCAACTCAAAATGTATCTCAGTCCTAAATGTAAAATGCAAAGAAAATAACAGGAGAAAATCCAGATGACCTTGGGTTTAGTGGTGACTTTTTAGAATCAATATCAAAGGTACCATTCATGAAAGAAAGAATTGATGAGCTGGACTTCATAAGATTAAAACTTTCTATTCTAGAAAAGGTTCTGTCAAGTGAATGAAGAAAAGCTGGGGAAAATATATCTATAGAAGATCTATTGGATAAAAGATTATTAACCAAATTATACAAAGAACTATTAAGACACAATAGTAAGAAAAACAAAAAACATGACTTAACCACCACCTCACTAAAGAAGAAAAAAAAAAGATGCTCCCATATCATATTATCAGGTAAATACAAATTGATACAATAATGAGATGCCACTACTTATATGCCCAATTCTTGGCCCAAATCCAGAACACTGACAATAACAAATGCTAATGAGGATGTGGGGCGATGGGAACTCTAATCTGGTGTTGGTRGAAAGATACTTTGGCAGTTTCTTATAAACCTAAACATACCCTTAGCATCCCATCCCACAATTGCACTACCTAGTATTTACCCAAAGGACTGGAAGACTGGTGCCACACAAGAACCTGCAAGTGGATGTTTAGAGTAGCTTTACTCACAACTGCTAAAACTCAGAAGCAAMCAAGATGTCCTTCAGTAGGTGAGTAGATAAGTAAAATGTGATACACCCAAACAGCAGACTATTCAAGGCTAAAAAGAAATGAGCTATTAAGCCATACAAAACAAGAAGGAAGGAGACTTAAATGCATTTCACTGAGTGAAAGAAACCAATCTGAAACCAGTCTGAAAAGACTACATAAATTCTGCGTTGTTCTGCCTGTATGACTTTCTGGAAAAGGCAAAACTATGCACAGACCAGTGGTTGCCAGAGGTTAGGAATAAATAGGCCAAGAGTGCACAGGATTTTCACGGCAGTGAAACAACTCTGTACGAAGCTGTAATGGTGGATGCATCAGTATACATTTATCCAAACCCATAGACTGTGCAACATGGAGAACGAACCCTGTCAACTACAGGCTTTGTGGGATGGAGTGTCAGTGTAGGCTCACTGACACCCTAGTGAGGGTTACTGATACATGTGTAGGGGCTGGGGGAGGGGGTTGGAAATTTTTGTCTTCAGCTCAATTTTGCTATGAACCTAAAACTGCTCTTTAAAATAGTCTTTAAAAAAGTGGTATCTCCTTGGCCAAGACATAGCTAATCAGGGCCACATAATGAGTGTGTGACAGAATCAGGCTTGAAACCAAACCCGTCTCCCCCAGATACACCCTCTCTGCCCAACAGTTCACAGCAGGGATGGGGTTCCYGACTGGGCTTACTGAGCTTGCTCAGAGAAGTCTTATTCAGAGTTGTAGAGTTGCAGCTGCTGGCTGCTTGGGGTGTCAGGAGGGCTGGCTTCCTGACACTTATGATGCTAAGTCCCCCTCCCCAATCAGTGCGAAGAGCTGCTGAGTGGTRGCAGGGGCCAGAGTCCCAGGTCTTGTCTTGGACCTTTGTTTAACCTGCCAGTTAGTGGCCTGTCACTCAGAACCTTAGTTTTCCCACCTTTTAACCAAGGCACTCAAATTTTTTCCCAAAGCTTTTCCTGGACCCCAATCCTGGGCTCTGATTGTGTGTGTCTTGGTAGAGCTCAGGAGTAGTTGTGCCAGGTTTGGGGACCACCTTCCAGCTCCTAGATTCCATGCATCTGACTCTCCTGTCATTCTCCTGACCCAACCTGAAACAGGCTAAGTGACACAGAAAGTAACAGTAAAAAAGATACTTTATTGTTAAAAAAAAAAAAAAATCAAACGACGCACAAAAACACAGGGCTCACGCTCAGTCACACGCACAGCCACGAACCACTCACACAACATGCTCTCACCCACACAACTCCCTCTCTGTGAGCAGCAATCCTGGGTGAGAGTCTCTATTGCTCTTCCYTTTGACTTCTGTCTCCAGAAACAACACACATGAAAAGGCAGTGGACCAGAGAAGAACTGGCAGGGAAGGGAGTAGCGAGGCCACCAGAGGCCTCCTTGGCTTCTGGTCCTGGCCACTCCTGGCTACAGACACTCYACACATGTGTACACATGGACTGTACATGGGTGTCCACACGTGTAGAGGCGTGCCCACATTGACCCTCAGTGCATAGAGTCAAGTCAGTGCAGGTAACACTTGATTGGCAGGCATCTGAGATGGAGGGGCAAGAAAGGGCAGAGGTCCAGCCTGGACCTTCTGCTGGTCAGTTCCCTGCTTCCATCCTGCCTTGCCTGTGAGTTCTGAGTTCCTTGTTGTCTAGAGGAAGACACATTCATCCCTTTGGGAAAACTCATGCCGACAGCAAGGTTGAAAAGTGCCAAAGAATTCTTTAAAATGAAGAATGATGTCTTTCCTGCCTTTGACCAGAAGTACCTGGGAATCTTGGGGTGAAGAACCCAGAGTTCCAGGAGGTGTGAACTCTTCAACAGGAAAAGGTTCAGGGCTGCAGAGAATCCTGGCAGGCCCAAGATTCTCGTGGTTTTTTTGAGATGAAGCAAGTTCCTCTGCATCTGAGCAACCGCAGCAGGACTTGAGGCCCAAATGATGTTCCTTGGGAAACCTCTTCATCCCCCGGTGCCTAGCACGCCACCTGGCAGGGCAGACCCTTGACGAATATGAAATGAATGTCTGCATGTGGCAGATTCCCAGCGGGCTCTTGTACCTGCTCCCCTCTCAGCCCCTAGGAAGATACCACATGRCCCTCTGGGGTCAGATGCCCCTGGGGCTCACCTCTGTCACTGGTATAGTAGTGGCCTGTTGGCCACCAACCTGCCCAGCTACAAAATGGAGCTCTGGGCAGCCACAGGATGCATCCTGGCAGGGCCAACCCCATAGTTCAGGCCTGACTTCCCGAGACTGAAAGATGACAAGATCCATGGGACAGCCTACTTCTTGGCCATCCCTGGAGTCAGTCATTCCTAGTTTTCCAGGGTAACTGCTCGGTCATGCCCTCTCCTGGGGCCCTAGTGCTGTTTCTGAAGCTCTGGCCTCAGCTTCCCTCCACCCTCAGGAACCAGCTGGGGGACCAGAAGTCTGGACTGGGTGAGGGGGCTACCCTCCCTCTCCCAGCCACACTCCCTCCCTCCCTGTGAGACAGGAAGACGGTGCCAAGGCCGTGGCCTCCACCTGCCTCCCGCTGAGAACAGGAAGCTAGAACATGACCTCCTCACAGCTCCCATAGTCACTCTCCACCATGTCAGAGCCCTCATAGTTGGGGGGTGCCCGGGGATGGCGGCTGGTGGGAGGCGCAGCCTCCACCTCGCAGTCAGCATAGGAGGGTCCTGCCCTRCTGAGGCGCATGCTCACCCCCTTGTACCCCTCCTCTGCCAGGCAAGGCCCTCCCCCTCCCTGCCGAAACTGCGAGTGGTAGTAGCTGATGGCCGTGTACTCATTGAGACAGGGGGCAAGCAGGCACTCTCGGGGGCTGGGGGGCTGCGGGGGCATCAGATCTTCCAGGTTCTGATTGCTGTAGCGGGGCGGGAGGGGTGCCCGCTTGTTTTCCAGCTCCAGAGGGAAGGGGAAGCCCCCATAGAGGGCGGTGGGCTCCGGCAACACAGCTGGGGTTGAGTGGTGGTGAGGCGAAGGTGGCAGAGGGCCCTGGGTCACTTCAGATCGGGGGTATTCCCAGTGTTCCTTCCTGGAGTAGGTAGGGGGCCAGACGGTGGCTCCTCCGGGGTACACTGAAAGAGAACAGACATGAGGTGATTTCCAGCAGGCCCTTGAGCTACTAAAATTAGCTTAGCACGGGGTAGAAATGGCCTCAGGAGCAGGTGGGTGTGTGGTCCACCTACCCATGTTGTCCCTGACAGCTTAGGTTGATATGTGAACTCCAGAGGGGGGCATGTTCAAGGCCAAAGGTTTGACCCAAAGCCAGCCCACCTTGCAAACCTCATCACTAATCTGAGAGTCAGAGGACAAGGAAGGAATATAGATGGTCCCATCTCTACGGCTGGACTTGGCAACTATTTCCCAAGACCCACAGGAGAATTTATCCTCCTAACTGAAGGAAAGAGATACACAGTTTGGATTTGAAAGTGTGATGGCTTCTATCACAGAGTATGATGAAATGAGCCAGAAGACAAGACCAAGAGTTCTTGGTTCTAGACCCATCTCTGTTTCTGAAAAGTTGGATGAGTTAGAACAAGTCACTTCATCTTTATGGTATTGGGACAAACAGTGAAATATTTGCTTTTGGTACTACTGGCAAATATACCAGAAAAAAAATATAAGGTGCTTTACAAATGCATCTCCTTTTGAGCCAAACAAGTTCTTCCTTGGAGCCAGCCAGCTCTGACTCGGCTKCTGTACCTCCAGATGGGACAATCAGAAACGTGGACCACTGCTTCTCTTTCTCTTAGAAAAGTAAAAATGTGCAGACATCCCCTCTTCTCTCCAGGGATTCTACACAACCTTATCCATGGCCTATGTGTTTCTGGCATGAACATCAATTGTATGGAGTCACTTGGAATTTAGAGGGCTGGATCATGGTGCGGCACTCTGAGCCAAGAGTCCCAGCATCTTATCCAGTCATCAGTGACTCTGCATACGTTCCTTCATGTCCCATCCCAAGGCACTGGATCGAATGGTGGCTAAAAATGCTTATGCCTCAACGGACTATTTAGGTCTACCACCCCATCCCATCAATCCCAGAGGTTAAGGGTCTCTAGCTATACTAACCCATCTCCTCGCCCGACCAGGTTCTCTTAATGATGGACTCATGGTCAGCGTGGGAAGGGACCACAGTGGGTGGGAGCCTGGGAGGCACACTGCAGACCACTGGCCGTTGCTTGGAGCTGGGTCCAAAAGTGACGAGTTCATTAGGAACCGAGGTCTTGCTGGGCTCTGATTGGTTCAGGTTGTTGCAGGAGCTGGTGCTCAGCGGATCAAGCTCGATGGAAGGCATGGCTTGGGTGTCAACACCAATACTCCTGGCCAGAAGGTCTGGGTCCTCCATGGCCACAGGCTTRTGGGACTTGCAACGGCGGCAGTAGAGGAGAAGCCCAACGGTGATTGTGATGATGAACAATATGGCCACCATGATGATCAGTAACTCCTGCTGTCCCCAGTCCCCTCTTTTGATCTCAGGGGTCACTAGGCAGTGTCCTTCTGAGCAACCCCTCGCCTCCATTTCACACCTGCAGAGACAGAGAAGGAGTMAGGGAGCTGAGTCATTCTACAGTCCTGTCCATGTCTCCTCTTACCAAGATCAATGGGGTGGAAACCTTGACTCTCAAGAGCATCAGGTTCAACCACTTGCAGGTGCACACCCACGTAATTATCAAACGCACAAACATCAGAATTTTCCACCCTTCCCCAGTAAAACAAGGGCCTCAGCTACATCCTTAATTGTGACCCTTTGGATCTGGGCTCTGGGCATGTCCATTATTTCCCACCAGTGAAAACCAGGGATTGAACCTTCTCTCCACCAATGAGATCAGATTTCCGAGCAAACATACTACTACAGTGGAGGTGAACAGCACACCAGGCTGTCCTCTATCTAGAATGTCAGGATCTCAGATACAAATCAGCAGCTGCCCAATAATGGTGACCAGGCATCAAGGCTACCTGCTATTCTTCATCAGGAAATCACAGGAACACAACAGGCTCCTACACAGATMCGCCACATTACACAGGGCAACTTGCTCAGAGAAAGCACTGGACACCCTGTGACCTCTTAGGTCATCTTCAGCTTGGCATTCCAGAGTGAAAGGCTCCTAGGGAACTTCTATTTCCAGCCTTGTCCATTTTTTGAGGGATACTGGGAAAAGGTTCCCCCATCCAACTTGAGTTCAAAACATCAGCCAGTAGCTGAAATTTCACCACCAACATTTTGTTCTTTGGGGCATTATTGGGTTGAGAACCAGTTGGMTTCAGATAGTATGGATTTATTTCTGGGCTCTCTATTCTGTTTCATTGGTCTATGTGCCTGATTTTATGCTAATATCATGCTGTTTATTATTATGACACTGTAGTATGTCTTGAAATTAGATATATGGGGATGCCTCTGTGTTCCTTTTGCTCGAGATAGTTTGGCTATTTGGGGTCTCTTGTGCTTCCATATGAATTTTAGGATTATTTTTTCTGATTCTGTGAACAATGTCATTAGGATTATAATGGGGATTGCATTGGCTCTGTAGGTTGCTTTGGGCGGTATGAACATTTTAAGAATGCCAGTACCTCTAATCTATRAACGAGGGAGATTTTTTCCACCTTTTAATGTTTTCTTCAATCTATTCCTTCTCTGTTTTGTAATTTTCATTGTAGAGCTCTTTAATTTCCTTAAATTTATTTTTAAGTTATTCTTTGTGGCTACCATCAATGAGATAACTTTCGTGATTTCTCTGTCAGCAAATTCATTACTGATGTATGGAAAAGCTATTAATTTTGTATGATAATCTTTTTATCCTGTTATTTTACTGAACTTGTTGATCAGTTTTAATATTTTCTGATGAATCTTTAGGTTTCTCTATGTATAGAATCATATCCTCTGCAAGCAAGGATAGTTCAACTTCCTCCTTTTCTATCTGTATGCCTCTCAATTTTTCTCTTGCCTGATTACTTGAGCTAAAATTTCTAGTACTACRTTGTGTCAGAGAGGTGAGAGTGAACATCCTTATCTTCTTCCTTATTTAAGAGGAAATGCTTTCAGTTTTTCACCATTCCCTTTGATTTTGGCTATGGGTGGTCATATATAGCTTCATTATGTTGAGGTACGATCCTTCTATACCTAAGTTGTTCAGGGATTTTATCATGAAAGGATGTTAAATTTCATCAAATGCTCTTTCTGCATCTATTGAAATTATCATGTGATTTTTTTTTTGCCTTCATTCCGTTTTACATTTTGCTGTAATTTACATATTACATTTATTGATGTGTGTATATTGAACTATCCTTGCCTTCCTGGAATAAAACCAACTTGGTCATCATGAATTATCATTTTGATGTGCTGTTGGATTCAATTTGCTAGTATTTTGTTGAGATTTTTTGCACYTGTATTCATCAYAGATATTGGCCTATAGTTTTCTTTGTTTTGTTGTTGTTATGTGCTTGTCAAATTTAGATAGGGTAAAACTGGCCAAATGGAATGAGTTTGGAAAGGTTCCTTCCCTTTCAATTCTATAAAACAGTCTGAGAAGCAATCATGTTGGTTCTTCTTTAGAAGTTTGCTAATCTCAGCAGGGAAGCCATCAGTTCCAGGCTTTTCTTCAATGGAGATTATTTATTCCTGATTCAATCTCATTACTTGTTAATGGTCGATTCTTATTTTTTATACTCTCTTGGTTCAATCTAAGTAAATTATGAGTCCAAAAATATCTCCATTTATTCTACATTTTAAAATTTATTAGCTTGTGGTTTTTCAAAATAATCCCTAGTGATTCTTTGAATTTTTTAGTGTAAGTTATAATGTCTACTTTGTCATCTCTAATTTTATTTATATAGTATTTTTAGAAATTTTTATTGATTCTTTTTAGTTATACATAACCATAGAATCCATTTTGATGTAATTATACAAGTATGAATATATCTTATTCTGATTTGGACCCTATTCTTGCAGATGTACATAATGGTGGATTCACTGGTCAATTCACCTATGTACATAGGAAAATTATATCAGATTAATTCCAYTGTCTTTCCTTTTCCTATCCACCTTTATGCCCTTTTGTCTAATCTACTGAACTTCTATTCTCTTCCTCCATCCTTATTGTTTCCACATATCAGTGAAAACATTTGACCTTTGGGTTTTTTTTGAGATTGGCTTATTTCACTTAGCATGATAGTATCCAGGTCCATCCATTTACTGGCAAATGGCATAAAGTCATTCTTCTTAATGACTGAGTAATACTCCATTGTGTATATATACCATTATTTCTTTATCCATTCATCGGTTGAAGGGCACCTAGGTTAGCTCCACAGCTTAGCTATTGTGAAYTGTGGTGCCATAAACATTAATGTGGCTGTGTCACGTAGCATGCTGATCTCACATCCTTTGGGTATATACTGAGGAGTAGGATAGCTGGGTCAAATGGTGATTCCATTTCTAGTTTCTTGAGGAATCTCTATATGGTTCTTTTCTCTCTCTTTTTGGTCTAAAGATTTGCCAATTTCATTTGTCTTTTTAAAGAACCAATTCTTTATTTCACTGGTCCTTTGTACTATTGTTTTAGACTATTTATTTATGTTTTGATCTTTATTATTTTTCTTTCTAATTTGGGGTATAGTTCATTCTTGCTTTTCTAAGATCTTCTAAAACATCATCATGTGCTTTATATTAATGGAAGCATTCATTGCTATGAACTTGCCCCTTAGTACTGCTTTKCTGTATCCCACAGATTTRGGTATATTGTGCATATTCATCTGTTTCAAGGAATTTTTCAATTTTCCTTGTGACTTTCTCTATGTCACATTGTTTGTTATTGATCAGTCTCCAAGTATAATTTTTAAAGTTTTCCTCATTGATTTACAGTTTTATTTCATTGTGATCAGGAAAGATATAGAATATGACTTCAATTTTCTTTTTAGTTTATTAAGACTTGTTTTATGGCCTAATATATGGTTTAGTCAAGAGAAAGTTCCATGTGCTGATGAAAAGAATGWTTTTTGCAGCTATTAGAAATATTCTCTAAGTATCCATTAAGTCCAGGCGATCTAGATTTAGCTCAGTTGTTTCTTTGTTATTTTTTTTTTCTGGATGATCTATTTATTGGTGAGAGTAAGGTATTGAAATTCCCCACTCCTGTTTGTTGAAGCTTATCTCTTTCCTTCGGTCTAATTGTGTTTGTTTTATAAAAGTGGGTGCTCCATTATTGGGTTCATATAGATTTATAATTGTTTTATCTTCTTGATGAATTGATTCCTTCATCATTATACAGTGACTTTTTTGTCTCTTCTTACTGCTTTTGTCTTAAAGTCTATTTTGTTAGATATAAGTGGAGCTACTCCTGGTGGTTTTCGGATTCCATTTGCTTAGAAYATAATTTTTCATGCTTTTCTCATGCTTTCAGACTATTTATGCCCTTACCAGTGAGGTGAGTTTCTTGTTGGCAGTATATTTTGGTGTCTTTTTATCCAGTCATCCAGTCTCTATCTTTTAACTGTAATATTAAGAGCATTTACACTCTGATTTAATAATGAAAGTTACAGTCTTGGTTGGGGCTGTAGCTCAGTGGTAGAGCACTTGCCTCACGCTTGTGAAGCGTTGGGTTCGATCCCAGCACCACATAAAAATAAATAAATAAGAAAAGTGAAGGTGAAATGAGGACACTTCAATTTAAAAAAAAAAAAGGTACAATCCTGTGCCTGTCAGTGTGTAGATATTTTTTCTGCTTGTTTTGAATATTCTTTCATTCTTCCTCTCTCGTTCATCTTTTTTGGTTTGATTGCTTACTATATTGATAACACTTGATTCATTCTATCTCTCATTTTTTGTATCTACTCTTCTAGGGGATTTATACTTTCATGGGCTGTTATAATGGTGGTTATCTTTTTCCACTTTGGGCRTAGAACTCCCTTAAAATCTTTCCTAAAGGCCGGCCTGTTGGTCATAAATTCTCTTAGTTTTTGTTTATCTTGGAAGGTCTTTATTTATTCTTTGATTCTGAAGGATAGACTTGCAGGTTATAGTAATATTGGTTGGCAATTATTTTCTTTCAGGACTTGAACTATATTATTCCATGGTCTCCTGGCCTATAGGGTTCTGCTAAGAAAGCCACTGTTAGTTCAACAGGATTGACCTCAAATAATGAATTGGCACTTTTCTCTTGTAGATCTTTTTATTTGGGGGGGAGGGGATACTAGGGATTGAACTCAGGGGCATTCAACCACTGAGCCACATCCCCAGCCCTATTTTGTGTTTTATTTAGAGACAGGGTCTCATTGAGTTGCTTAACACCTTGCTTTTGCAGAGGCTGGCTTTGAACTCTCGATCCTCCTGTCTCAGCCTCCCTAGCCGATGGGATTACAGGCATGTGCTACCATACCCAGCTTCTCTGGCAGATCTTAAAATTCTTTTTTTGTTTTGTTTTGTTTTGTTCTTTTGACAGTTGGATTGTAATATACCATGCTGAAGATCTTTTCTGATCATGTCTGTCTGGTCCATTGTTTCTGAATGTCCATGTTTTTACCAATATTAGGGAAATTTTYCACTATTATTGAGTAGATTTTTCTAGGTTCTTACCCTTATTTCTTCTCCTTTGGGTATGCTGCTATGTGGAAATTTGATCTTATATATTCTCTTTACCTTTATTTCTGCTGAATGTGATATTTCAAAATACCCATCTTCCAGCTCAGTGTTCTTTCCTCCACTTGATCTAGTCTGGCTGTTGAGGCTTTCAACTATTTTTAAAATCTGACTTATAGAGAGTTCTTTATTTCAAATATTTCCGACTGGTTCTTTTTCAAAATTTCTTTGCTGAGGGGCTGGGGATGTGGCTCCAGCGGTAGCGCGCTCGCCTGGCATGCGTGCGGCCCGGGTTCGATCCTCAGCACCACATACCAACAAAGATGTTGTGTCTGCCAATAACAAACAAATAAATAAATATTTAAAAAAAAAATTTCTTTGCTGAGTTTCTCATCTATATCCTGCCACAACTTCCTCATTTCATCTGTCTGGATCTCATTAAACTTTTCAAAAAATCATTCTTTTGGCTTCTTTATCCAGGATCTCATCCACTCTGAAACATTTGGAAGATGTTGCTAGAGAATGACGAACACTARGAGCTGTCATATGACCTTGTTCTTCCATATTCTTGTGTTCTTTTGTTGAGATTTGCATATATGCTGAAATGGTCATCTCTACCACTTTTATGAGATGGCTTCCTTGTAAGCGGCTACCTTCTGAAAATGTGTCTTGGGTATCAGTTTGTTATGCAATGTTGACTTTGTTTCCAACTGTGCTAGAAAGTGATTCCCCTACAGCTTCCATGGTTGTGATTAGGGAGCTTGAGAACACTATGTACCTTATTGGAGTTAGAGAGACCCACTGTCTCTGCAGGTCATTCAAGAGTAGGAAAACTCTAGTAGTTCAGACAGGTGTGGTGTAGATAGTAAGGTGGGGGGCTGGGTGCAGCCTATGGGGTTACTCCTACTATGGAAGTGGTGGCCCCTATCAGGTGACGTGGAGGGCAGTTCTCAGGCACTGTTGATATTGGTTCTGACCATTGAAGGAATCTCTGGGAATGGCTCCTGTGGGCCCTGACAGTGGTGAGAGTCCTGAGTATTTATCTTCTGATTAGACACTGGTGTGGGTCCTGGTGTGCTGGGRTGAGAATCATAGCAATCCTTCTGTATCAGTCACACCCAATCTACAAGGCCACAGTATGTGATCAAGGTACAAGGGTGATCGATGCAGAGAACCCACATGAGTGTGGAGGCAACAAAAGTTATGTTATTCATCTTCRCTGTTACTGTGGTCGTGCCCACCCAAGAGCAGGTCCTCAGATTGTCCCCGMAGCTATGCATTCCCAGTGACAGGGTGAGGGCTCTTTTCCCCCACAATTGTTTTAGTTGCGTTTCCTGCCATTGGTTGAATAGGAGTGGATTGTGGCTGGAGCCAAGATTCCTCTCAGCTGAGGTGCATGCTGGAGAGARGGAGAGGGGAATGCGGCTGGTGCCAGGCAAAATTTTCCTCTGGATCATCTTAGGCTGTGTGCCCCAAGGGTAGGGTGATGGCCAGTGGCTCTTCTATCCTTCCCTACCCCCAAGTCTTTCACCAAGGATTAAGTGGAGTGGGTCACTTCTGGAGCTGAGTAACATTCCTCTTGGCTGAGGGGCTTGCAATGGGAGGGAARGCAGCACGTGGTGGGTGTTGGGCTAAGTTGCTCTCCATACCACCTTAGGGTGTGCCCCTTGGGGTCAGGGTTACAGCTGAGCCACAGCAGGTTGCTTAAAAATGCCCCAGCATGACTCTGTGGGTGGGGGAACCAGAGGAAACTCAGAGTTCTTTCTCTGCCTCGTTAGCAACAGGCACCTGTGCATGGTGCTGGGCGCGGGCGGGGATGGTGGAAGCCATGCAGGCAATTGCCCTCAGTCCTGTCACCTACACAAAACTACCTGTGACTGGCCACACCCCCAGTGTCAGGGGAAGACTCCCTGCTGTCCCAGTTCCTGTGGATGGCACACTCGCTTCCTTCCATGTAGCAACAACTGCTCCCCACTGTCGCGTACTCAGCACATTGTGTCAGGGTCACTCCATGTGAACAGCAACCTGCTTAGCCAGTAAGTGGGATGTCTGTGGGGTCTCAGAGATGGGAACACACAAGGGCTTCTGACCCCTACAGCAGTCCAAATTCAGGCAATAGCCCCCCARTGCACATAAGAGTTCCTGGCTGCAGCACCCTGTGGAGATGAAATGAATTCCTACTCCAAATCCAGACATGGCTCAGGCCTCTCATCTATTTATGGCAGGCTGTAAGGGTTGCAAAGCTTTCCGATAGCTAGGATTGCTGGAATCTGCACTGATAGAGTTTTCTGGGACTCTGTCTTTCACCTTCACCCCTATGGAGGGAGCAACTCCTTCTCCTTCAGCTGTGGAGTTGGCTACAGGTGATGGATATTTTGTTTCTCTCACTCAGTGGCCATCCCAGGCCTCTGGATTTTACAAGGCTTCTGTTTTTCTACTGTTGAATTTCAGCGTTCTTGCAAGGTCATTCACCTTAGTTTGTAACTATGCACCTGTTGTTTCGGTTCTTTGTGGAGAAGCAGGTAAGTATTAGTTACCTCTCTCCAGCCATCTTGCCAGTATCCAGCTTTGTCCACCTTTGTCAGCTACTGAGAAAGGTCCCCCCACCTCACTGGAGTCCAAAACATCTCCCAGTAGAATTTCACCAGCAACAGTTTGCATATATATACATGTTTAAATGTTGCCTTTCCCAAGTTCCTTTTTAAAAATACAAACAGGACTTTCATGAGGTGCGATGAAGTTTCCTCCCACACATCTGATGAATAACATTCCTTGCAGCCAACCAGGGCAGGGAGTAGGGCAGGAAATGATAGTTGTTGAGAAAACTCTGGCCTTCAACACATGGGATAATCTTGGACAAGTCCTTTTTCTTTCTGGGCCTCAGTTTCCCCATCTGTAAAATGGTGAGTGGACTACACCATTGGCTCTTATACAGAGGCTGATAGCAAGGGATCCCCTGGGAGCTTGCAAAGATAGAATCCAGGCCTATTCTTCAAGAGTCAGTCTCAGCTGGTCTAGGTGGATCCAGGAATCCATATTTTTCCTACATCTCTCTCATGATGTCTTAAAGACTTCCCAGTTTGGAAGCTATAAGACCAAATAATTGCTCAGATCTCTTTACCTCTAGGATTCTCAGAACAATTATCCCCCCCTGACATCCCCAGCTGCCCAGCACAGTAGAAAGCATTGTGGCTGTGCAGAGGGGTCTGAGCCTGTACCAGATGGAATCGTTTTCCTCAGACCACTTCCTGGGAGGTCACAGTACAAAGCAAGTGCAACAATTTACTTTCAGACTTCAGCAAAGATCAGAAGTACCTCAGGACTGTTGAGAAGTATAGCTTCCTGGCCTCCAACCCTTAGTATCCTGATGCAGGTAGGTGGTCTGAGGGAAAAATATTASCATGTGAGCAAGACCTAGATGTCAGGTCTGGAGAACTCAGTCCCTGGWCATCCACCAGCCTCTCTGGAGGTCAGAGTCTGCAGTGCATCCCTAACGGTGCCAAACTCAGAGTGAGGAGCCAGTGGTGAGTGGCCTCTCCTGTGCTTACCTGTCCCTCATGTGTGGATGAGGGCAGTTACAGGAAGCTCCCTCKGGAGAGGAGATGCAAGTTCCACCTTCCAGGCAGGGTGTAGAAGTGCAGTTCTCCCTTCCACGTTCACAGTTCTTTCCAGAGAATGGCGGGGGACACTTGCAGATGTAGTCTGGGAGAAAAGAAAGGCAAGAGAGTGACTGACTTAGCACTTAGGGGAGACAGTGGCATTTTRCAGACCCATGTGCTCATGCTACCGTTCAATAACCATTAGTGATGTCATTGAGTTCCCTCCTCTGTGCAAAATACCACACTGGGCACTGGTGCCCTGCTGACTAGGAACACTTGGGCCCTGCCCTCTAAAACTACTTACAGTCCAGGAGAGAGAGCAGACATCTATTATCATCATCATCATCATCATCATCATCAATTTATTCTGAACCAGTTCCTTGCTGTTTTGGTTACCATAGCTCTATAGTATAATTTAAGTTCTGATATTGTGATGCCTCCTGCTTCATTTTTCTCACAAAGGATTGCTTTGGCTATTCTGAGCCTCTTATTTTTCCAAATGAATTTCAGGACTGCTTTTTTCTATTTCCATGAAGAACTTCATTGGAATTTAAATAGGAATTGCATGAAGTCTCTACAGCACTTTTGGTAGGATGGCCATTTTGAAAATATTAATTCTGCCTATACAAGAACATGGGAGATCTTCCCATCTTCTAAGGTGGTCTTCAATTTCTTTAGTGGATGCCAACACACAACAAGGGGGATCGAGAATAAAAGTTTACTAAATTAGACAAAAGGGAATTAAGTGAAGGGAATAAAGACAGGAATAGAAAAGACAGTGGAATGTTCTGACATTACTTTCCTGTGTACATATATGAATACACYACAGGGAATCCACATCACGTACCACCACAGGGCTGGGATCCTAATTAGAATCAATTGTACTCCTTATTTGTATAAATGTCAAAATAGACTCCACTGTCACGTATAACTTAAAAAGAGCAAATAAAAAAATTACTCAGAATTAGTCACTGTTGTACGGATCTTTATGTGTTATCTTATTTGATCCTTAGGAGGATCCCGAAACCAATTACTAATATCATCCTCATCAGGGACAGGTACAAGGAGTGGCAGATGAGAAAAGGAGACAACAGAGAATGTAGGATTATAGTGCAAGTCATTTGGCTAGTAAATGGCACAAATGGGATTCAAACTCAATAGGTATCTATAATATCGTGCCTCAGTTATTATCATTAGTCTTTTTGAAGACAATGTTGGGAGGAGGCTGGTTTAGGGTAGGGATCACGGAAATATTTCAGCTGAGATCTGAAGGATGAGTAGAAATTTAGTCAGACAATAAGATGGAGGGGCACAGAGGAAGATGTTTCATGCCAAGGAGAAGAAGAGATGGCATGTTCAGGAAACCACACGGGGTGGGCCAGCCCAGTGAGGAGGAGGAGGAGAGTGTGCACTACAGGGGCCTGGAGGGAAGGTGGTCCAGAACATCATACAATGTGAATCTCGCTCAAGGATCTGGATTTTTCCTTGACAGCATGGAGGTGGAGCACTGAACAGTTCTTGCAGGAGAGGGGCATGCTCATATCTGCATTTTATAAAGATCACTCTGGTTCCTGCTGGAAGAGGGGATGGAGGGAGAGAAGCTGGAGAAGAACTCGGAGCTGGCTGATGCAGATAAAAAAATGAGGAGTGATAAGGGCTTGGGTTAGAGTGTTGGCAGTGGGGTGTAAAGAAGTGAAGACTCCTTGGATCTTTTGCAGGTAGAAATGGCAATATGGTTAGCAAGACAAATTAGAAAATGAGATAATTCCAAGTGTTGACTAGAGTGTGGACACACAGGAACCTGATGCATTGCTAGTGAAGTACAGGCTGCTGTGGGCCGACTGAGAGCAATTTAGTCCTATTTAGTTAGCAATCTTTTTTTTTTTCCCCCCAGGACTTGGAATTGAAATCATGGCCTTGGGCATGCTATGCAGAAGTTYTACCTATGAACTATATCCCAGGCCATAGCCCTATTTAATCAAAATAATTATTTGCATTCTCTTGGTATGTGAATTCTCTTCTTGTGTGTGTATGCAAAAGAAATTCTTAAGCAGGTTCATAAAGAGACTTGTGAAGATTTGCTGCAGCAATTGATGGAGATGGGAGTTTGAAGCCCCCCACATGTATATCAGGGAGAAYGGAAAGGGAAAATGGGAATGCATGCGTACCATGGATACCATGGAGTATTGACACACAATGAAAAGCAGTGACTAGGAACTACCCAAGGCAGTGTAGATGAATCTTAAAAATATGCTGCTGAGCACAGGCATAAAAGTTACCTAGTGCTTCCATGAATTAAAATGTCAATAAATCAAGGCATTATACAAAAATTCACTCAGAAACATTAACTGTTTGCCTCTGGGGCTGGGGGAGGGGAGGGGAGTAGAGTTAAAGGGAAAGAGAAAGAGACTTTGAAATGGACTATTGATGATTCTGAGGTGCTCCATCAACTCGATCAACTCTCTACCTTCAAGATCCTCCTTCACACCTCCTCCAMCCCACAGAAAGTAGAGAGAGTTTTTGTTAAGGAAGAAAAGAACTCCTGACTTCCCTTAGTACAGACCTAGCAGATCCTGACCCATTCCTCACAGACTGGGAGGGGAACAGAGGATGTGTGGATTGAGAGGGCAGGAGTTCTCCATGGAGATCTGCACCCTGAACATGCCTTTCCCACTTGAAAGCCTTGTGACTTTGGGGAGGTTCCTTTTCCTCTCTGTGTATCCCTTAGGGCCCAGCAGTTCCCTGGGCTATAAAATGGAGCTCCCAAGCTATTTATAGCTCTCTTCTCTCCCTGCCACAAGGGGCAATGGTGGAGCAACTTGCTTTGTAAACTCTATGGTGATATGAGATTGCTAATTCAATACATCAGAGTCCTCTGAAAGAGTCTCTGGGGTAAACTTAGGAACAGTCCCTCAGCCCTTACCTGCCCTGTGGGTCTGTGAGCACCTCCCACCATTGAGACATGGGTTGTGGCTGCAGTCATCACTCTGCAGGCAGCACTGGGTGACGGCCTGGCTCTCCACCAAGCCCGCTGTCTTCTTGCCATGGGCTAGTGGGTCTACTTCCTCTCCGTTGACCACAACAGCATCCAGGCAGCCTTCAAAGCCCTGGGAGACATTTGAGGAAGAATGGGAGAGGACAAGGCCACCCAGCAAGAGGCATCTCTCAGGCCTGACACCCTGGCACTTCTCTGGAATGACAAGGGAGGTGATGCCTGTACTGTCAACCAACAGGCGAAGGGAAGTGTCTGACTCCTCCACCAGGATGTAGTGCCACTCTTGGTCATTCACGTGATGCTGGGAGGAAAGGTTTCCATAGAAACCACCTGGACAGTGGTATTCCAGCTGGGGCACTCCATTGGCCAGCTGCAAAGAAAACCCAGAAAGCCATCAGCAAAGCCAAGAAGTCCACGTGATTCTGTTAGTCCAACGAATGTTGTTTGGGAGAAGCAGAGTTTGGTGCTTTCCGAGTCTATTCCAGACATTGCATTTGTAGGACATAAAAGCCCTCAAAGTTTCATTTTTTCTCATCAAAATATGGTATTTGTGTTAGTATCTGATGGATATTTTGATGTTTTCGAAAGAATTCAGAAATAAACATTTAAAATATTGAAAATATTAATGGTTATAACTCGTATACCCCAAACTTCCCTAGAATCTTTCATAATTTTTTAAATACATAGAAAGTCCTGGAAGTCCTGAGCTTATAACASAGCCACTGGCTTAGGACATTTTAATTCACTTCACTCTCAAGAAATAGACATGCTTGTGGCCGAATATTTTTCTGTGTACCTTGGGCTAGGTATACTTCTTTCTATAAAAATKTGAACATCTAACCCAGTCTTTTCTAGAAACTATCCATGTAGACAACATCTTTCTGATTTTCGCCCTGATTGAATACAATTTATACTTTTACATATTTTAAAAGGAAATCATATTATTATGGAAAATAGAAAATCAACATCACTTTCTAATAATAAAAAGGAGTAACAAATATAAATGCATCTCAAACAACACATTGCAATTAAATCATTTCTTTCAACCATGTGGGACCACGAATCTGTTGATCAACCATCTTTTCACTGTCTCTCACCTCTGTAGTGTCCCCACTCCTCTCCTAATCCAGCTTAAATTCCACAGTCAATCATATCATCACCACTCCCTTCATATACTCTTGACTTCTGTCTCTTCAGAGAACTCACTTGCTAAGTCCACAGCTGTGGTAAACTCCAACACTCCACCTGTTCTCTACAGACAGAGAGCTCAACGTGGCTGCAGAAAAACACACTGCTTTGCCTACTGGCCCCCCTTCAGTTTCATGACCACGGGTTTCAAATGAACCTTTAATGCTGCCCAGCCATTAAATCTTCCTTGGTCCATTCATTCTCCCARACAACTATTTGACTTTTTATCTCAACATCCTCCTGCTGATCGTTACTTAGCTGATGACATTGCTTCCTGCAGAAGCCATCTGGTGGCACTTGCAGGAACTCTCACCACCAGTTACATCACAGTCTACCCACTTCACTAAAACCAATCTCTCCACTGATGCACTGATCTCAAAGAATGGGTTCTACTGACTCTTCTTTCTCTTTCCTACATCTTTGTTTTGTTCATTCTCTACTGGATCATCCCAATCAGTATTTAAACATATTGTTATTGCTCTAATCTTTAAAAAAAAAAAAGGTAGTCTTGGACTTGATATAATTTTCTGTCCTTGTCTCCACTTTGTAGCCCCAATCTGCCACTACACTGAAACCACTGGTAGGGTATTCAATGAGATTTGTGTTGCCAAATCCAAAGAGATACCAGTTTGCATCTTTCTTGCTTCTTAGCAGCATATCACCCAGCTCCTTCTTGACACATGTTCTTCGTTTGGCTTCCGGGATACAATATTCTTGGCTTCCCTCCAATATCACTGGTTGCTCATTTTCAATCTCTTTTGTTGGATCCTCCTTTTCTCCCAGACCTCTCAATGTTGTTGTGTCTCAAGGATTGATACTTGTTCTACTCTCTTTTCTCTCTATACTCCTTGGTCATCTCTAGTGATCTCCTCCATTCTYATGGCTTTCAATAGTAGAAATATGCTCAGGACTCCCAGGACTCCATCTCCAGCCCAGACCTCTCTCACAACTCTAGACTGGTTTATCCAGCCTCCAGCTCTGCTCTGAGGTCCAATAGACACCTCAAACTCACCCATCCAAACTGAGCTYCCAATCCCCACACCACCCCCAACCTGCTCCACCCCTATCCTTCCCCGGGRTCTATTGGTAGCCAGTGCATCCTTTTAGTTGCTCAGGTCAAAATGTTTCTCTGTGTTCTCTCCCATCCTTCACTCAACTCACTGGACAATGCTGTGGGCTCTACCTTCAAAGCCTTTCCAGACACCTTCTTCCCAGTTCCATTCTCATCACGRGTCTCCACTGTCATCCTCTCTTACCTGAATTACTATCAGAGCCTCCTGATTGTGTCTCTCTGATTCTTTTTTCCTCTAGAGTCTATTCTCAATGCAGTAGTCAAGGTGACCCTTTTAAAAACRTCAGAGTATTGCAATTCTCGGTTTAAAACCTTCTAATAGCCTCCATTTTCCTTAGAATAAAAGCTAAAGTCCTTACAACGACATAAAAGACCTTAAAAGATACGGCTCCCATCCCACCAGATCTTGGACCTCAACTTCTAGTACTCCCGCACCCCTGGCTCACTCCACCAGAGCCATGGAGAACCCTGCACTGTGGCATGCAAAGCATCCTCCCTCTGGCTGGTTGTTCCCCTCAGATGCCCACATAGTAACTTCCCTCACCCCCTTTAAATTACTACTCAATCACCTCAATGAGACCTTCCCTAATCACCTTATCTAAAATTACAACTCCCCTCRCCTCTGACACCTCCCAGCCCATTTTTTTCCTGTAGGACTTATTCAAACAAAATAACTTTATTTGTATGTATTTATTGTCAGTCTCCTGCCTGCAGAATGAAAGCTCTATGAGTGATTTTTGTCCTATTCACTGGTGAGACCCAAGMACCAAGAACAGTACCTGTCACGCAGTATAGATGCTCAACAGATATGTGAGTTAAAAATCTAACCAGTTGCCAAAGTCAGCTTTCTCTTTGTCCAAATGGGAGATGGGCAAGTATTAAAATCAAGCAAGGCAAACTGAGCTTTCTGTAGGACATTATCAGAAGGACTGAAAAACTAYTTAAAGGAAATTAATTATGATTTCATGTAACTTTATGCTGAGTTTGTCATCTTGAATATTCCCAGTGGACAGCCCCTGACCCCTTGAGAAACACTCGCTTGTTACTCAACAAAACTGATAACAGCATAAGATGAGGTCGTCTCACCCACCTCTATTACCTGGGGCTCTCTTACCCCACAGAAAGAGCAGCCCACTCCTGATTGTCCTTGAACATGTACCTTCAGGCAAGATGGCTATGATGATCCTGCACAGGACGGCACTGTGTCTTTGTCCAGTAGTCACAACCAGCATCCCCCCCAAACTGTGCAGGGATTTCTTGGCCAGGAACTGGCTCCTGGGACATCCTCAYGTCACCCCCACCTTCCCAGCCTGGGATGCCCATATGAAATCAYTCAGGTTGCCAGTGCCTCTTACCTTCAGGGAAATTGAGGCTGTTTCATTGGCGAATAGGAGAATGGCCTGTGGCTGGAGCGTTTTCAGAGAGAAATGGATGTGCCAATTCTGAGCCATGGGGGGTCTGTACTGCACRTAGCTCTGACCACTGAACCTTATGGCAGTACCTGCAAAAGTAATCAGATGTGTCACCATTATTTAAAGTGATCACCATGAAGCCTTTGGACTGATTTTGTCTCATTCAATTCTTGGTGACAAACAAAGTCACCATTCACATTTCATCCATGGAGAAACTAGACCGGGGTTGGGGGTTAGTTTTCTAGGCCCACATAGCTAGACAGAGGCCATCACCCTGAACACGTTCCCCTGGGCCATAGGAATCACTGCCTTAGGTCCCAGCCTGGGGACCGGAACTGTGAGCTTTAATTATTAAGAAAACCAGGAATGTATCAGTTGAGTGAGTAGAAATCAAAATTTTATCCTGTAGCTGAGCATGGTGGCACATGCCTGTAATTCCAGCAATTGGAGAGGCTGAGGCAGGAGGATCACAAGTTCAAGACCAGTCTCAGCAACTTAGTGAGACCCTGCAGATGTAATGATGTAACTCAGGGGTAAAGCACTCCTGGGTTCAATCCCTAGTTCAAAAAAAAATCCTACTGTTTCCATGTTATTTCTGACATCATCTGAGGAAGAATGAGCTAGAATTTGGAGAGAATTTTGCATGTGCAATTTTAGGACCAGGAAATTTTTGTATACTCTTTGCACCAGTAGGATTATAATAATTTGGGTAAGCACTTCCCAAATGAAATGCAAAAAGAAAAAAGCAAAAACAAAAAAATAGTTAGGGGTAGATTGTGCAGTCAAAACTTCTGTCGAATCCTGTATCCTCCATCCTTGCTAAGGCACAACTAACTGCACAGTAGAGTCAGGCTTCACCTAAACGGGAGTTTCTCAAGCTTATTTGACCATAAGAMACTCTTATGTGGACACCCCTGGAAACAGGATCCTGAAGAAGCCCATTGGGGAAATACTGTGTTAGATTAAGTTGTCCTCACCAGGTTTGTAGAAATTGATCCTCCCTAGAAGCAGGTTCAGCTGTGAAAGCCCTAAATTCCCCAGTGTGAATGCGCCTATCAGTTACCAGGGGAAAGAATGAGTGGTACAGGGTCCAGGCACCTGGGCAAGAGGAGCTGCTAAAGAGAGAGGAGGTAAAGGTCAAAGGGGAGAGAAGGAAGCRTCAGACAGCTCAAGACACAAGGGCATCCAGGATCCAAAGAGTCCTTCACGTTAGCAGTTTCAAACTCTCTGACCCTGGCATTTCCAATGTAGTAGGGCATTACTGGATGGGATACCAAAGGCGATCAAGACCAAGAATTCTCAAACCTGACTGAATATCAGAATCAGAGGGGGAGTCATTTAAAATAAAGAATCCCAGGCTCTTCCCTATGGAGTCTGATTCAGCAGTCCTTGGTAGGATTTAAAAATGAATATTTAAAAAAATCTTTCCATGATACATGTGACTAGAACCCAAGGGGTTTCTGAGATGTGGATCATATTTTGATTCTTGATGGGGTGCTGGCGACACAGGTAGCTTTGGTTTGTGAAAATGTACTGAGGTAGACACCTAGGTCGACTTCCTGGGTGTCATATTTCACTAACAATGTTAAACACAGCAACGAAAGAAAGAAAGTAAGAAAACGCCTCTCCCCACGTAATTCTGTTCTGGTGATCAGCCAGCCCATCTAATATTTCTCAAAGAGCAGTCCTGGGACCACCTGCTTCAAATTATATGCCAACTTCAGGACTCTCCCAGAATCTTCTAAATAAAAGACTCTACAGGGGATCCCAAGGAGTAGGCATCTTCAAAAACACACTCCCCAGGTGACTGTGCACAGTGTTGAATTTGAGAACTTCTGATGTCTGAGGCCAAGTGGAAAAGAGAGATCATCCAGCCACCATGACTTTCCCAGCAGCAGGCTTAAGGGAAAAGGCACCCAGAGCAGGGAACCCCCTTTCCCATCGAGCACAGCCCACTTGGCCAAAATCCAATGGCCCCTGGAGAAAGTCCACAAATCTGAGAATTTCCCTAACACAGGTTGGGGGGACCTATGAAGGAGAGGCCAGGCCAGGCCAGGTAGGGGCAATGGTGAGCTGAAGGTGATGTCACTTTCCTTTTGCGAATGCTCTTGAGCTGGTCCAGGGCCTTGGTCTTAATGCCAGGGGTGAGTGCTGGGGGGTGGGGTCTTGTCAGAATCAGAAAGCTTAGTGAAGAGTTTAGGCTTAACAAAATAAGTCAGAAGGCCAGGAGAGGTATGTTTTCTCTCATATGCAGAAGCTAGAGAGGAAAAAGGAAAAGAAAGGTGTGTGCAGATCTCATGGAAATCAGAGAGAGAGATGATTAGAGGAAAGGGACCAGGGGATGGGAGTCAGGAGAGGGGGAAGTGCTAGGGAGTGGTGTTGGCCAAATAACATCATTATATCACATGTGTGTATGAATATATAACAACGAATCCCATCATTGTGTTCTATAATGCATCAATGAAAAAAAATGTAGGGGGAAAAAGTTTAGGATTAGCTTAGGATATACAGTTATTGAATAATTAGAGCTTCATTGGAATCTCTACAGTTTTAGGCAAACCAATACACTCCCCAAACCTTGTTTTCAACTATAGATAGGCCTAGTGACTCTGCTTAGTGTAGATGTAAACACGGTGTTATGCTTTGGMTAGAAGGTGTCCCCCACAAACTCATGTGAAATGATTAGATTATGAGAGTGATAACCTCGTTGGTGGTTAATCCACCTGATGGATTAATCATTTGAATGAGTGGTAACTGTGGGCAGGTGGGGCATGGTTGGAGGAAGTAGGTCACTGGGGGCATGCCCTTAAGGATTATATTTTGTCCCTGGCTTCTCGCTCAGTTTCCTGGCTGCCATTATCTAAGCAGCTCTCCTCTACCTGCCCTTCAGCCATGAGGCTCAGCTTCACCAGAGCAACGGAGCCAGCCGCCTGCAGAGCGAGACCTCCAAAAYCAAGAGTCCTCTTCTAAATTGGTCTTTCTCAGGTACTTTGGTCACAGCAATGAAAAGCTGACTAATACACACACAGCCTTACAGCACCACTGCCCCATGGGAGTGACAGCCATCGCTGACATTGGGCTTATTGTGGGCCGGTCATGGGTTGGGTGCTTTTATATCTATCACGTAATTAACTCCTCAAATTCACTYCAGGAGGCAGATGTTATTATTTTCTCTATTTTGTAAGTGAGAAACTGGGGTTTACATGGCTAGTAAATGGTGGAGCTATGGTTTGAACCTATGCTGAGTCKAAATCTTGTGCTTATGAGCAGCAGGCTGAGGAAATAATAATGGAAGTAGCATTAACAACTCACATATATTGAGCAATTTCTGTATGTGAGGCCCTCTTCTCAGCAAGCACCCGATGTTTAATACCCATGTAAGGCCTATAACATCCCAGCCCAAGGCGCAGACAGATTAAGGAATTGTCCTGTCACCTGGCCAGTAAGAGGCAGGGCTGAGTTTGAACCCAGGCCCTCTGATGCCACAGTCTGTGCTCTTAGCCCCTATTGTATTCTTACTGTGATTTTCAAAATTCCAGGCAGTGGTCAGAAATCRGATATTATTCCACGACTGGATTTCGCGAGGCCACTGCCTGTGTTACAGTGGTCTCTGGCTTTTGGCCTGGTTAGGACGTTCTTTGAACTATCCCACAGAGCCTCTGCAGATCTGCATGCTTAGCCAGGCAGCAAAGCCAGTGGAGGGGACGTCCCTGGGGAAGACGCGCTCCTCACCGTTGCAGGAGCAGTTCCTGTCCAGATGGTGCCGCGGTGTTAGGATGCTCAGCCTGGCTGTGCTGTACGTGGGCCCGACCCTGGGGTCCAGGTGCACCGTCTCTTGGCAGATTTGACCCTGGCAGCTCGGACCCTGGCAGAGTACCACGGGCATGGCTGATCTCATMTGAAGTCCCACCGAGTGCTCCATCTCCTTGGCTGAGCGAGTGATGATGGATGCCAGTTCCTGGATCTTGTAGAAGGTTCTAGAATGCCCCTTAAAGACCAGGAGCACATCCACACCAGCCACGGCCTCTGCAGGCTGAAGGCTGGCCAGATGGATGTTGGCTTGTTTCATGTCCAGCTTGTTGCTGAGGAACCTCTGGAGGTTCCGCCAGTGGTCACTCACCAGCTCCTCCGGGGTGAGYTGGTGGAAGCCCATCCACATGGCCTGCTGCAGAGCCTCTGGCCCCACATGCCACACATGGACCTGGACCCCAGCRGTGGTGGTGAAAGTCCCATCACTGACTGTGACATTGAACGAGTAGCGGCCGCGGGGCAGGCCCTGGGCAGCGATGATCTTGCCATCAGGGACACCGACTGAGAAGTGCCTGCCCAGGGGCTCCTCTCCTGCCAGGCTGTAGGTCAGTGTGTCCTCAGGGTCTCTGTCTGTGGCATGGATTTTACCCACCATGCCACCCTGGAACTCCTCCTCCCCRATGGTGATGAAGACCTCCAGTGGGAGGGCCGAGGGCGGGTAGTGRCTCCGCTCGGTGACGTGGACCCTGACCCATGTGGACGAGGAGAGGGGAGGGATGCCGCTGTCTGACACCTGTGGGCAGAACAAACACTGCTGWTACCCAGCAGGACCATGGGGCCTCTGGGCCCCCATGAAGGAYGGCCTCCTTGGGGGGCCACATTGTCTGCCCTATGCCCACCCCAAGGGCAGGCACAGCATGTTGTCACATTTGAAAAAAAAATATCTGGCTTCAAAAGTACACGTATATGTTATGGATTATCTGAAGGCTTTATGGGGAACAGAGGAGGGGGTTACAGCCCATACCACACAGTAAAACAACTCGATCTCCCACCCGACCTCCCTCTGAGCCTCTTCCTAAATCTCTCTACACATTCTYGGCCTCCTGCCTCCTCCTGTCTCTTTCCTCACTGAATCTCCTAGTAACTTCAGTGCCATACATGGCTCCCTGCCCCGCCTACCAACATTTACTTTGGGGTTTCCTTGACTATGCGACGACTAGAGTGGAATTTATTCTTTGGGTCAGTCAACAAATACTTCTTGAGCACCTTCTACAGGCCAGGCCCACTTCTAGGATCACAAGTAAAGGGAGGCCCGGTGTGATGGTGCATGCCTGTAACCTCAGCAGCTCAGGAGGCTGAGGCAGGAGGATAGGGAGTTCAAAGCCAGCCCCAGCAAAAGCGAGGTGCTAAGCAACTCAGTGAGACCCTGTCTCTAAATGAAAAATACAAAATAGGGCTAGGGATGGGGCTCAGAGTTCGAGTGCCCCTGAGTTCAATCCCTGGCATCCCCACCATGGAGGAGGAGGAGGAGGAGGAGGAGGAGGAGGAGGAGGAAGAGGAGAATAAATTTGCTACCAAGGAGACAAGACAGGAGATAGAGCACTGTGAAGGAAAGAAACAAGCTGGACATAATGAGAAGTGACAAGTGAGACATCTGTTGTAGATCAAGTGGAGGGAAAGCATCTCTAATGCCATTCAGGTTGAGTCTAGTGGGTTGAGAAGGAACAGCATGTGTAATGATCCTGGGGTGAGGAAGAAGGTATCTGGCTCAACAAAACAGAAAGGGAGCCAGCAGTGCTGGGGTGAGTGGGCAGGGGATAGGGCCAGTGGTGAGCTGGAAGGGGGAAGCGGGAGTGGCCTCACTGATGGGCCRAGGAGTGCAGGGTGTTTTTATGCCAGAGTGACAAAAACCCACTGAAGGTTTTAAGTAAGGGTGGCATGGTCTCACTAAATAAGAAAAAGAATATAAATTTAAAAATGCATTTTCCTTTCACATTTCACCACTGCTCTCTGCAACTTCCTGCCTGACGTAGAAGGACAAGCTTGCCTTCCTTCCCCCAGGGACCTTATGATTTTCTCAGCTGTCAACAAGGGGTTCCTTGGCTTTCCCTACAGCAATATCTTGTTCAAGTGTATTCCAACACTTTCAGTACAGAAAAAAAGGTTGCAAAATTACACCTGGAGATAGGTCACTGGGCCGACACTGAAGAGAGAGCAACAGCACAGCAGGAATGAACTCCTAATCCTAACGTCTAGCTGGCATTAACAGCAACAATGATTGATACTGTTACTAACGAGAACGTACAGTTGACAGTATCTCAGCACAAACCACCTACCYGTCACTGTGAAATGCTTCAAATGTGTCATCCTAGTTTATCCATGTGTCCAAAGATAGCCAGAGGCTCAAAGTATTCTGAACACCTCAGTGTACCACAAGTCKCTTCAAACTCTCTCCCACCTTGACACCTCACTCGTCTGGTTGTTCCTGCTTAAAACACTATCCMGCCCATTTTTCACATGGCTGGCTCCCCAGGTCTCACTGCATAGTTCCTTATGTAACAAATATGTGTGTCTCACAAATATGTGAGACAGRCCAAAGTTCTCAGAGACTAAAGGTCAGGCCCTTTATCCTGCAGAGAGGTGACCTGCTCAAGGTCACACAGCTGAGGAATGGCAGATATAAATTAATTAGCACYGTGTCCGATGAGCCATCGTTTTATTTCCTCATCCTAACTGGTAAACATGTTATTTCTTCCTTTATCCATTTATTGTTCGTCTTCATAATTGGAATCAAAAGCCCCTGGAGACAGTAACCCTTCCCTCCTCATCCCCTGCTCTATTCCTGGCAGCTGGCATAAGGTGGCATGTGGTAGGTGCTCAATAAATACTTGTTGAGAGACAGACCAATGGAATGGGTGAATGAGTGAATAGACCCAGAGGGGAAGTCTACAGAATAGTAGGAGCCACTGGACTTGAGATTTAGGAAATAGATTTGGGGGAAGTGAAATGAGGAAGAGATGTCCGACCACCACGTTGGCTCCTATTCTTAGGCAATTCCACACAACCCATGACARCACCACCACAGTCCCATGCACCACACATATACTCTCTTATTTGGACCCGCATCAACTCTGTGGGGTAGATCTTTCTAGAACCTGAGGTCCTGAGATTGCTTCTGGCCAACYGCAAAGAATTAGAGCTAAAATGAGGGGCTCTGTGTGGGCACCCAGCAGGCGGGAAGAGACCGGCTTTGGGGTTAGAGTGATGGGGTTTGAAGCACCCCTCTTAGGCTGTTCATTAGCAGCACCTGAAGCCAGTCACTTAACCTCTGTGTGACTCCGTTTCCTGTACCTGCCTTGAATGCGACCAGGATTTAATGCAACAATGTGTGTGTATCACCCAGCCCAGGGCCTGGCACACACAGGCTCCACACACCTTTTCTAATGACAGAGCACTAGTAGTGCTTTGGTCAGCACGTTCACTGTCACCATGGTCACCGTACCACCCGAGGCCCAGCACAGCTCTCACCTCAATCTGAAGCTGATACCATTCTTGGGCCCTTCTGCTGAGGTCCGCAGCGGTCACCAGCCACCCCTCTGGAGTCACTCGGAAGGCAGAACCGACGTTCCCCTTAGTGATTCTGAATGAGTAGGGGGCGCCGTTCTCTGGGGAGTCTGGGTCACTCARGATCAACTGCAGGACTTTGCTGCCTATGGGAGAGTTCTCCTGAGATCAAGAATGAAAGGAAGCAAAGAGCAGAATGAGTCCTGGTCCTCCATCCAGCATCGTCCTGGAATCGTCCTGAGCACTCTGACTGCTCAGCTGACGCCCACCCCTCCGGCCTGCCTTTGAGTTGCTGACTCTTCAATCTGGAGAAGTGCTCCCCAGGAACACTGCTAGGCGGGGACGGATATGTTCTCAGAGTCTAAAGGTCAGGCCCTTTATCCTGCAGAGGGGTGACCTGCTCAAGGTCACACAGCTGATGAACGGCAGATATAAATTAATTAGCACCKGGGACACATGGGAATTTTGTACTTTTCAGGGCCAGCTGAGCACTYACACMTGATTTCTTGTTTAGAGGACCAACRCAATACACATCTAATGAGCAAATTGAGAGACAATTTGGAATTTAAGAAGAACTGATTCCCTAAGGATCATTCCAACCTTTGTTCTCCAAACATGGGAATTCRGTCTGCTCTACGGTACCATGGTTGCTATCTAGCTTCCTTTGGTATCACAATCTTATTACATACAGAATGTAATGGACAATTGCCTATCCAGACAATGTTTCTCCCTTTTTTAAAAAAATAAAACCCTGATTTTGTTCAAGCATAAAGTAATCATAACCTCAGAAAAGATGTTCCCCTCTTATGAGAAAATGAACTGTGACTGGTCTAAGACAGCTATAATCTAACTCTCTAAGGGTGAACATGTGATCCAATTCTGACTATTGGAGAAAAGTCTTCTCCTTCGATTGAAAAAAAAAAAAAAAATGAGTGCCGGGTATGATGGCTCACGCCTGTAATCCCAGTGGCTCAGGAGCCCGAGGCAGGAGGATCATGAGTTCAATGAGTTCAAAGCCAGCCTCAGCAAAAAGAAAGGCACTAAGCAACTCAGTGAGATCCTGTCTCTAAATAAAACGCAAAATAGGGCTGGGGATGTGGCTCAGTGTTTAAGTGCTTCTGGGTTCAATCCCTGGTACAAAAGAAAAAAAAAGAAGTCCTTTTCTATTTGCCTTTGAAGAAGATTAGACAAGGATGTGATATGATGTTAGAGCTACAGCAGCCATTTTGCAATCATCAGGGAGAAGATGAAGAAATTTCTAAGACATAAAATGCAAATGTTTTCTCATTGAAATAACCAAATATGAATGGAATTTTCTACCATCCAACCTCTGATGATATCAAATAATGTTCTTATTACTTAATGAATTTTTAGTCAGGCAATGTGTTATCTGGCAGCCAAARTATCTTAACTTATACCTGTAATCTATAAAATAGGTTAGAATGGAACRATACTAGACAATGCATAGTAGGATCCAGAACTCTGCCCTCTTATCYGCTTCCTAACTTCCCTCAACACTTATGGTCTTGATAATTCCCTTCAAATCTTATTTGCAAACTATTAGCATGGTGAAAACAGCTTAGAATCTGGAAATMATCCTGGGTTTAAATTMTAAGTTTGCTACACCCCACCTATGRAATGTTTCTGCACCTCCATTGTTTAAATCTGTAAAATGGGTCTTGCCTACTTTCATGGTTTTTGTGAGCATGGTAAGTAATGGACATAGAAGTGCCTAACACAGTGCCTGACTGTTTTTAATCCCATAATCCAGCGCCTCCTTCAGCTGCCTGTGTTGACTTTAGGGTCATCAGTGGCAAGGTCACAGCCAATTGGGTAGCATCTCCTGCTGAAAGGGAAGTGAAGGGAAGCTGGACCCAGGGCACCTGGGGAGGCTTGAACTTACTTGGACAGTGGTGCTGTAGTTGAGCTGGAAGAATCTCGGTGGGTTATCGTTGACATCAACCACTTGGACATTAATGTCTGTGTCCTCGTGCAGTGGGGGCAGCCCGCTGTCTGTGGCTCGGAGTCTCAGGGAATAGCTGGATGTCTGTCACAAGATGCCCAGTGGAGAGTTAGCAACAAGACCCTTTACATCTGCTCCCTGACCTATTGCTAATGTTCTCAGTAAAAAAAAAAAAAAAAAAAAAAAAAGATGGAGACACTTCCCATTGCCCAGTCATAGCATTTTACGGCTCAAGTTCTGGAGTCAGACAGAAGCAGGTGAGATTTAAAACCCAGCCATTCACTAGCTATGAGACCTTGGGATGGTGACCACATATGTGAAGATAATATCAGGATCCTCTTCCTGGGATTATTCTGAGGATCGAACGGCATAATGTATGTGACTCATTTAGTGACGTGCGTGACATACAGCGCGTGATCAATGAATGGTAGCTGTTACTGGAATGATCCAATGATCCCCGATCAATGGTGACCTGAGCTCCTCCAGGGAAGGTTAAGGGTTCTTCAGTCCCTCTCCTGCCTCTGGCCTCACAGTTCCCAGAGGACCCCAGAGTACACAGGTGCACACATTCGGGGCATCAGGGTCAGGTGTGGACCACGATGCATCCTCTGGACCAGCAGCAGGGCCAGAGCTCTGCTCGGATGAGCTCACATTGGGCCCCTCCCACGTGACTCACCTGCTCCCAATCCAGAGCCTTGGCCACCTGTAGCTCCCCCTTTTTGGGATGGACAGTGAAGTGCCCAAGCTGGTTCCCTCCTACCAGGCTATAGGTAATGGCACTATTTAGGGGTCCGTCCTCATCAGTCGCTGAGACCTGCAGTTGGGGAGGTGATGGTGAGAGGAGGCACAACAGGGATCAGAAGGGAATCTTGGCCCCAGGAGCAGAGTGGAGACAGATAGGTACCTGCCAGAATGACTGCCATTCACCTGGCAGTCCCTACCCCAAAGTGATCCCTGCCAAGGGACTCTCTCATGGATTTCAGCATGTGTTCATTTGTTTATTCATCCCCTCATGGTGACAGGGTGTCAGGGCCTGTCCTAGGAAGCTGGGAGGTAGGGAATTTGTCAAAATGAAGATACCCACAGAAAATGTCTAATTTTATGGGTGATTCTAATTTGGAGTAAAGTCTGATCAATCTCATGAGAGCATGGAGCACCATGATCCATTCCACCTGGGGAGATGAGAAAGGGATTCATGAAGGCTTGGAGGATGCGGAGGGCTTCTGGGAGTGGAGAGGAAACACTGTGAGCCCAGAGGCGTGACTSTGCAGGAGATGTTGGGGAAAGGTCCATCTTCCTGTGCGGTTGGAGGGCAGGGTGCATGCTGGGAGTGGCAGGAGAGAAGGCTGGAAGGCAGAGTGCAGAGAGCTCATAGAGAATTTATGAATTTATGGAGTTTGGTTCCACTCCAAGGAAGAAGGGAGCAACTTCATATTTAAATGCAAAGAAATAGTATCTAATGTCCCCTCAGTTCCTGCACTCTCTCCACACATAGTAGCATTCCACGTCACTAACTGTGACCTGACCCTTCCCAGGCTTTGGAATCTCTGGTAGATCTCTGGGGTCTATCTCTTCTGACTGCTTCCCTATCAAAAAGCTTGCTTATTCCATGCCCACGTTTATCAGAATTTCATTTTATCAAAGAGCTCTCATTTTCTGTCATAAGAGACGGTACAGTCCCAGTTAAGTCTAATGTTGTGTTAATTTGATTGGCCAATCCACGCTCGCCAACGACTGGGAAGAGAGTGAGATAAGAACCCACAGGAGTCCACGCCCCACCAAGAGCAACTTACTGTGAGGATGACGTCACCCACGATGGCATTTTCTAAGACCCTCGTGACATACAGGTCCTGAGGGAATCTGGGACGATATTCATTGACATCGGTAATGTTGACCACAATTGTGGTCACATCACTGAGGGAGGAAGAAYCCCTCCGGCTGCACTCAATGGACAGGAAGTACTTGGGATTTGTCTCAAAGTCGAGGCTCCCATTGACATACAGGAATCCTGAAGGAAAAAGAGGCCACAGGAGTGAGGAAACTGGGGGACCACAGAGGCAGGGGACTGAGGGGTCTTGAACTCAAATCCAGAAGAGGAGCTTGACAAGGCTGAGATGAATCCCCCTCCATCTTCCTCTTCATGTCCCTGTGTGTTGACCCCTCTCCTTTGCCTTCTCTCCCCACCCCCATCTCTCCTTTTCCTCTCATTCTAAAGGCTGGGTTTCCTTCATTTATTTCKGTAATATTTCATTAAACCTCATTTAAATCTGTGATGCCAAATGAGTCTCATTTGCATCCATAATGGAGGCTTCAGGCTGACAACACCTGAACTTGCAGTCAGTCTTAGCATCCGAAGAGCCAACCAGCCCTCATGTGCCAGCAGCACTATGGGAAGAGCTCAGCCCGTCCAACAGTGTTCAACTGAACCTGATCAAACCCTTTGATCCAAATAGCATTCTTAGGAAATACAGACCTAGAGGAATGTGTGTGGCACTGTATGCAGCCAGCCAGTTGAGATATGAAAAATTCTGCCAGACACCTGACTCAAATATTTCGTTAATAAATGGCTTGAGGATATAAAAAGGGAGAAGAAAACATTAGCAATTAAAAGATATTTAAGATACTGTATATCAACCAAATGCAACATGTGATCACCTGTGCGAGCGTCCAGGCGGAACCTCCCCCGCTCGTTCCCGCYGACGATGCGGTAGCCGGTCTTCTCCGCACCCGGGCGAGTGAGGGTGGCCAGCTGCAGCACCTCCGTGCCAGCCGGCGCGTCCTCGCGCACCTGCACGCTGTACTCAGTGTTGAGGAACACCGGCAGGTAGTCCTCCAGGCCCACCACGGAGACCGAGACGGTGCCCAGCGTGGAGAGTGGGATCGGGGATCCCAGGTCKGAGGCACGGACTGTGAGCTCCAGCGCTGTCTGGGGCCCGGCCTCCAGGGGCTTCTCCAGCCGAATCACTCCCGTGGTGGCATCGATAGAAAACTGACCTTCCGCAGAATCCGTCAGAGAATAGACCACCTGGGCATTGGCTCCTGCCGGGGGGGGGGGGGGGGGGGGGGGGGGGGGGGGACCAAGGGCAAGATGGATTTTGAGGCCACTCTTCTGGCTTAGCTTACAGCTGAACTTGCAGCCACAGGAGGGTCTAGGGAGGGAGGGCCCCATAAAGGCTGAGCCGCTTTGGGTGTGTTCAGAGTGACAACCTCTAAATCAAGTCCTTTTACCTGGGCGGCGAGGGGTGTCCAAGTTCTTGGTGGGAGCTTGGGGTTCTAGTCCACAAACCTACTACCTAACTACCTGAAAATGTTATATAGTGTCCAATATCAGCTTATAAATGAAATTTGTGTAAGATAAACCACCCAGAGTGAGTCCTTTGGCTGTGTAAAAGTTTAGTACCTTGATTGTGGTGCTGGTTACATGAATGCATACATGAGATGTTACATCAAACTACACATAGGGCACATGCGAATTTGTAACAACGGATCACACTATTATKAATAAATATAATGCACCAATAAACAACCCACATATACAAACACATACACGCATATACACACAAATAAGTGCATATAAAGCCTAGTAAAACCAGGATATGGCTTGTGTACAATGAAATTCACCATTCTGTATAAATCATAGGTGCCAATAAAAAAATTTTAAAAAGAATACAGCTTGTAGTCTAGTTAGGAGTCATGTACCAATGACAAGCTTCCGGTTTTGATGATACTTACTACAGCCATGTAGGATGTTGTTCCTGGGGAAGCTGAGTGAAGAGAGCTCTCTCAGTACTATTTTTTAAAGTTCCTATGAGTTTATAATCATGTTGAAATAAAAAGTTAAGAAAACAAACACACCCATGGAAAGTTCTCAGTAAATCAAAAAAATGTTACTCCTGCTTTGGCTCAGATACTGTTCTGTTCTTTGGTTATGAACAGCTGTTGGACTTGGCTTGCACAGGGACCATAGAGCAAGAAAAATACCAACATTTAATGCTCAGCCCTCAGGTCCTTGCACTCACAGATGAATGCAGGCCCTGAGCCTAAGGGGCTCACATTTCACACACATGCGTGGACACACACCCTTGTGGTGGAAGCGTGGCGGGGACTGCCTATGAAAAGAGTTGATTCACATCCACCAGATACACACACCAGATAGCTTCCCACTTTAGGCATTTTGATGGAGACACTATCATTTTTCAAGAGAAAGGGAGATGCTGGTCAGGTCACATCTGGAATATTTGGGTAGAATTTAAGGGCTAGAAGAATCATTTTAAAGGGTCACTGGTAAACTGGTTCAAGGCCAGTTTCAATCCTATGATTGAAAGCACTAGGGCCCTTCCACTCAGAGAGAGGGGCTTGAAGCTAGAGCAAGTAGTAGGTGTATCCTAGTGGCAGAAGGGCCATCATGGAAAAGGGGCCTAGGGAATCTGTGTGACTGTAGAGGATCGGAACCAGGATTAACAGGGTCAGCTCCAAAGAGTGGAACTTGATAATTGTCTGAGGAACAGTGGGAGTAAGGGATTGTCTAGGAAGTGGGAGCTTTCTGTCCCTGGACATGTTCCATATGCAAGCAGAGGCTAACTGCGTACTTCCTGGGCCTTGTAGTCATTAGAGGTGGGTGAAGTGGATCACTCCAGCTCTCCAGATCTGCCCCATTGAATCCAGCTCTGCAGCTCTAACAAGTCTGTCCATTTGCACCTCTTATCCCAACGCACATTTGCATACACATGGGTTTCCCAGATCCAGCTGGGGCTGTTTGCCCTCCCTAGAGCCCTGTATCCCTCCAAAACTCTTAGCTCCTTCTGCCAAGCTAAAACCCAATCCCTCTAGGAAATTTCAAATTTACTCTGCTAGTGTCAAACAAGGCAGAGTTATTTTGATCCCACTTTTATTATTATTATCATCATCATCATATGTTGATCTGGCTACTTTGACCCCAAGAGCATTTTCTAGCCTACTTGAGTTATAAAATTTGACTTAGGACAATTGAGCCACAATAGAACATTTCATGATGGCAGAAGCTATAATTGGCACAATCTGGGACAGATACTCATTGACGAATTCGATTGGTTTTGTGCTGTGGTTTAAGTGTGCCCCCCAAGAGTTCAACTTAATCCCCAAATTCACATGTTAGTGGTGTTTGGAGGTGAGGTCTTTGGGAGGTCMTTGAAATTAGATGAAGGCCATGAGGGTGGGGTCCCCATGATGATATTAGCGGTTTTCTAGAAAGAAAATTAGATACTTGAGCTAGCACTTGCTTGCTCCAACTCATAACGTGATGCCCTCCACTGTGTTATGATACAGCATGAGACCAGATGCCAGATGCCAAGCAGAAGCCAGGGCCATGTTCTTGGGCTATCCAGCTCCAGTACTGCAAGTCAAATAACCTTTTCTCTATCAATCAACCAGTCTGTGGTATTTAGTTATAGTAACAGAAAAGAGACTAAGACACTTTCTAAAATTTTAAAAGGAAAAGAATCAACCCCAATGAAAATACTGTCATTGAAATTAGAATGTAAAATATCAAAAATATCTCAACTTCTTGCACAGAAATGGATCGAGGAATTCAGTAGATTTAATGTAGTTAGTGCCCCAAATTCCTTTCTTTTGTCAAATTCATTTGAGTTGAATAATTCTGATTGGTATGTTTCTTTTTAAAAAAATATGAAACAAATCTATTCATTTTTCAAATGTCTTGACAATTTTACATGTAAGTCAACCTTTAAGATATTCACAAAATGTCCCAGTTTGTAATAATAATTTTTAAAAAAAACTCTCAATCACCCTCTCTGTGTACAGCACTATTCTAGGTGCAATAAAAGAAAATCTTAACCTTTGGAACAAGATTTCATCTTTTCTAGAGAGTAAAAATACAAAAAAAATGGCCCTTACTTACCACTAATCTGCCCCAAACCCCAAATAAGAAAGAACTCCTTTTCACTAAAACATTTTAAAATAAACCATTTTCCATCTCAGGGCAGTTGATTGGTATATTTCTGATTGAGTGTTTATATTCAAAATGCTTTGGGGCAAAAAACAAACAAACAAACAAAAAAAGTTCTTGAAGCTGAATGGCAGTATTGAAAGTTCTCCAGGTCTAATATCAGGGGGGAAGCACTGAGACTGAAATGTCTTGTACCTGCCTCGAAACATGGCTAGAATCATTTGTCAGACAGCACTTGGTTCTGTACACAGAGAGGATGCTTGAGTTGTTGTTGTTGTTGTTGTTGTTGTTGGGAAATTTGTGCTTATCTTCAAAGTCGGCTTACATTGACTTACATGTAAAATTGTTTTAAGACCCTTGAAAAATGAGTGGATTTGTTTCATATTTTTTAGAAAAGAAACATACCCATCAGAATGCAGTGGCACCCCAGCATTTCCTACCTATAGGCATGCAGAGATGCAACAAGTGGATACAGTCCCCACCAGTCCCAGAGAGACACAGAGAGAGCCAATGGCAGATTTAAAGGCAGAACAGTAGAAGTGGCTTCCGCTCCTTCTCAGACTCACCTTGGTCAGGGTCCCGGGCAAATACCACAGCCACGGGGGTCTTAACTGTGGTGTTGTCGAAGACAGCCACAGCACAGTGGCTGGGGAAGAATCGTGGCGCATTGTCATTCACATCCTCCACGTGGAGGGTGACGTCCGCCTGGCACGATCGACCACCTCCATCCGTTGCCTTGGCAACAAGGTTGTACACATCCTTCTTCTCACGGTCCAGGGCTGTGAGTGTGGTCAGCTCCCCTGGCCAGAGAAATGACAGAAATTGAGTTTTCTCTGGGTGTGTGCTCTCTAGATATCCATAGGAGACAATCCCAGTCACGGAGTTTATCGCAGTGAAAAGGTGTCAGTACGGTGTACATGCAGAGGAAAGAAGCCCAGCCTATACCCCCAACACCCACCTGCTTCCTACTGCTCCCAAACACACTCCACCACTATCATCACTGAGATCTCAGTCTCCATCCCTGAGAGCTCAGTTTCCTTTTCATGCCTAAAGGTGGGAAATGTTAGTGTACCACTGCATTCTGACCGGTGTGTTTCTTTTCTAAAAAATATGAAACAAATCCATTCATTTTTCAAGTGTCTTTCAAATAGGGGGTGGTTAAATATATTATGTTGGCCATACAGTAACCTACTATATAATCTGAAATGAATTATGATAGGGCTTTATGTTCTGGCTTTGATAACATCTGCAAAATATTGCTAAGTGAAGAAAATCAAGTTAGAAAATAGTATTCTATTTTTGTGAAAGAATTACACAGAGATTTTAGAGATGCGTGGGAAAGCAGTGTGGTAGAACAGCCACCAGAGTCCCTGTCTTTGGGGTAAGGGCTATCATCTGCATTTTCCAGTTTCTGCATAACACACATCTATGCTGTTTGAATTTTGTACAATGAGCACGTATTATTTCCATATTCTGAAAAACCGCCCAGTTTGTTTTTCTTCTAAGTCCTCACTGATCATCCCGCAGCTGAACAAACAGAAGCCGAGGGAGATTAGGAAACCTGCCTGAGTCACTCAGCACGCCTGTGCTGGGGTCAAGAAGGATGACTTTGTCTCCCATCTACCTGGAGAGCTTCCTGGGACACCTCTCTCACTGGCCACCTCCCTGCTCAAGAATCTCCAAGTCATGCTTTGATCTATTGAATTCAAGCCAAGTGTGGGCAGCTGGCCCTTGTGACTTTGATCTTGCTTGCTGCCCACCCCCAACTGCTCCCTACAGCAGCAGGACAGGAATCCACCTGGGGGACTGTTCTTGCAGAGGAAGCAAAACCTACCCCATATCACCCAGATCCCGCAGCCCAACCTCTCCCGGCTATTCATGGGCTCTCTGTTTCCCTCTCTCCGCTTTATCCCCTACCTAGTCATGATGACCGAGGCAACCACATCCACTGTGCTCCTCTTAAGTCTGGATCTGGGCTAGCCTTCCATGTGCTTTATTGCTTGTGATCCTTACAAAGTCCTATTAGCTATTATTCCCCATTTGAAATATAAATTCTCTTTCTATTTTAGAGAATTGATAAATGGCCCTTCCCTGGCCTCTGGAATAACTACTATATATCCCCAAGTCTCACATACAATGGCATTTCCTCAAAGAAGTTTTGCTTACCCCCTTCTCCCCAAACTAATTTAATTTCTCTTGGCAAATAAACACCCCATGTTTCTTCTTAACACATTTCAAACCTCTGATCTAATGAATGCCTTTCCTATTAGATGACAATGACCTGGATCTTATCTTATCAGTCCATTGATTATGTCTCCAGCATCTAGTGCAATGCTTGGCACAGGTACCAATATGTATGTTTGCTGACAGATGGATAGATGGGTTAGTGAATTCCTACTCCTTCTCCAAAGAGCCTTCCATGGCACTGGGCACTTGGTATTCAGTAAATAAGTTCTGATCTTGATCCCGCAACTCAGGAAACCCACCTGTATGAGGATCCAGCTTGAATTCATGTGCCCCAGGTCCATGCAGAGAATATGTGATCTGAGCGTTGGTGTCGGTGTCCAAGTCTGTAGCCGAAACTTTCAAAATGAAGTGTCCTGGAGATACATCTTCACGAACGTTGCCAGTATAGAGAAGCTGGAGAGGGAAAGAAAAAGAGGAAGAGTGTGGAAGCTATACTTCGAGGAAAAATGATAGAGACAGAGGCCAGGGACAGAGAGAAAGTGAGAGGGGGAGGAGAACAGAGGGAAGGAGAAACATAAGGAAAATGGAGACTAAAAACTAGAAGAAAGATGACAAGACAACAAGTCAGAAAAGAGGGGATGAACAAGAAGTTCCACCTCCCGAAAGCCCACACGCAGAGCTAGAGGGCCTGCTGCAGCCTACCTGACAAGGAGCCCGGGGAGGCTTCTGGGTGAGATGGGCTGGACACCAAGGGTCTCAGCCACTCCGGGCCAATCCCCCACCTCTGTGAAGAGGCCAGAAGGTCAGGCTCATCTCCTACCTACATTCCCAGGATGGACCCTGTCCTTTGATCTGGTCTGCACCCCAGTGGCCCTCCACTGCAGGCACCATATATAGCAAGCTGGAGGTGTGGCACAAGGGAAAAGCTGGAGTCCCTGAGAGCTCAGTTTCCAGCTAGCCATCCTGGTTCCTACTCCTGCAGGGAATAGCAGGGTATGGAGACCAGTCATGCTGTGGATGGAAGCTCCATGCCCAGGTGGGCTGTGTGGAGATGGTCCTCCACACCTTCTTAGCCTGACTCTAATGAAGCTGTGGTCCATTCCTGAGAAGACCACAGTGAGCCTGGTCCCAGCCTCTCCCAGCATGGGGATGATGGAGGTTTTAAGGATGGCTGAGGGAAAAGGGGAAAAAAAATAGACACCTTTCTCCCCAGGAAAGCTGCCCTTATAAGACCACTCAAAATGTGGTCATCTGGGATTCTGAAAAGGTATTTTCAATGCTTACAGACAATCCAGGCTCTTTTTTTCTACTATGCTTTCACATGACTAGAGTGTAGAAAAGCAGAAGAAAAATATGAGAGGGTATATGTATTTGCATGTGTTGCAAAGTAAGTGCTCATGTGGAGGTATGTGTGTGCAAATAAGTGGATGTAAACATGCAAATGTAGGTGCAAGTATGCTTGTGTGAATTATATCTATCTATATGTGGGTGGACATATGCGAGATTGTGGTAGCTATGTAGTGCATGCTTATGCATAGTCATGTATATCTGTACTGATAGTTTTCTTTGTATATAGGACTGTAGATGATCCTTTGTGTAGATGTATATTCCTTTGTATAGCATGTATTTATGTACATATAATGAATGGCTTATTTTAGGTAAATAGAAATTGTGCTARTTTGAGACATTATAAAATTAAAATGCTAACAGCTTATCTGCAACCTTTAAGGTATTGCAGATCCCCTTGGTCAAAAGTGACTTCTTGTGTTCAAAACTATATTTAAAAGAAATTTAACTATATTTGTGACTGTCAGCTTAGCCCTCTAAAAACACATTTCTGCTCCTGCTAAACACACGCATGCACACTCCTTCACACATGTTTGTCTCAACATCTGTTCTCATGGGGAATTTAGGACTAAAGTACATAGGTCCTTAAGAAAGTATCCCTTATCCCAGTAACTGTCGTGCCTGCCTGTTTGTGTATGTGTGTAACCTGAAGGGAGTGTCTGCATTGGGCTATATTACCCAAGCAGGTGCAGGGATATGTGGGCTAAGAGGAGGGGTGTCCCTGGGGAGGCCCYGGATGTATTTCACAATACTGAACCAAGTTAACAGCTGAGCAGGGGAGAGGGTTTGCACAGTGAGCATGGCCAACTGTTTGGAGAAGGTACGTTACTTTGCTTCTAGATAAGTTTCACAGAGAAGTGGACCTTTATAGAGAGTACAGGAAGAGAGATGTAGATGGTGATTCCTGAAGAGCTTGCTATAATCCCTATGAAGGCTAAGGAATTGCCTAGAAGGGTCCCTGCCCCAGGGAACTAGACTGAGGCCCACTGGGGAGAAGCAAGTACAGATGCAGTCAACCATGGCCAGTCTCAGGGATGCATCGTAGATCATCCTCCTTTCTCTTGTCCCTCCTTCTCTCTACCTTCCTTGCCTCCACTTCCCACTCCACCCTCAACAAGCTCTCACCTGTGAGCACTGCGGGCTGTTATCATTCATGTCCAGGACAAAGATCTCCACAGGGACAGAAGCCTGGAACTTGCCATCTGACGCTGTGATTCTGAGCAAGTACTTGGCCATGTGCTCACGGTCCAGGGTCTTCCTTGAGTAGATCCTCCATTCATCCCCAACTTGGCTGATGCCAAATTGGCCCAGGGGGTCTCCCTCTAAAAGCATGGGACACAGCTTTCAGCAGCAGCAGGAATGAATCAGGCTACATGTCACAGGTGCCTGCCCAACTGCCYCTTCTTTTAGGGTTGCTGAGAAAGGCAAAAATGTCTTTTCTCCCTTAACTAGGGACCCACAATTCACACTGAGTCAGATTTTAGTATTACAAAGCTGCTTCTGACTTCAAACACCACCTGTTAAATAAAATTATCACTGCAAGAAGCACAGGTTCAAAATATGTGGCTGGCAGGAGCAGGCTTCTTACTTTCTGTGGCCTGGAAGGCATCAGTGGAAGTTAAAGGTAAGCAAATTTCGAATCTATATAAGAAATGTCTATCTAAAGCTATTCACTAGCAAATGGGTGGAAAGTAATCAATGACACTAAACTCTCTGAGGTTTTTCTAAAATTTTTTTTGTAGTTGTAGATGGACGTCATGCCTTTATTTTACTTTTTTACTTTTATGTGGTGCTGAGGATGGAACCCAGTGCCTCATACGTGCAAGACAAGCACACTGCCACTGAGCCACAGACCCCAGCCCCTCTGAGATTTTATTATACAACTAATGACAGGTCCCTAGCCTTGCTTGTAAAATGTCATTCCTGACAAGGAAATCACTGATAAGGGTGTGGGAAGATGGACTCTCACTCTAAGATCCTAAAATTCCAGAGTTCCAAGGTTCAGCTGCTTCAAGAGTTGACTATTCATTGACATTTACTATTCTCTTATTCAATGATTTTAAGACTCTTGCATTTTTAAGTGCCTGATGTTATAAGATGATAGATTTTATTTTTCTAAGCTACTTCAAACAGCTCACATTCTGTCTGTCTCCAGGAGTCTATGGCTCTTGGTTGGAAGTTGAGACTCATTAACTYGCCAGAGCATATCTGTAAGAGTAAAAAGATCCATGTTTATGGGAATGGATGACATGGCACTGGGGCTTGGAAGAAAAGGATATTCTGAGTGAAGAAACTCTCACGGTCACTGTTTGSTTTAGTCTTTGTATAGAAAATGGGATAATTCAGTTTACAATAGGTATCCACTGAGGAAAGCAGTTTTTAGGTTGAAGTTTGAAGTTTTCATTCCAGCCCTAACACAAACTCAGAGTAGGACCTTGGTTGAGCATCTCCGTCCACCCAGGTCTTGGTTTCCCCATCTGTGAAATGAGGGGGCAGGGCTGGCTCACATCTAARAAGTGCTGTATGTCACTCTAAGACATAAGTCCTAAAATTGACTAAGAAGAATTTTCTGTAATCCACAACTTGTCCTCCATAAAGACAGTCACCTGGAAGAATTTTCATGGATCACACAACTATTTTGGGGGCTCCCACTATCCCCTGGAAGATATCTGACAGTAGTTAAAATATGAGCCTTCTATTTCATTTGTATCACCTAAAATAAAGTACTTTCTAATTTATAGAGGACCCTCAGAGCTGTCCCCAGTTAGGTCTTCCCAGCATCCCTGTGAGATGAATGGGAACAGACATACCAAGTCTGAGACGGAATGACTGAGGTCCTAGGGGGCTGAGTGATTGGCCCCAGGTTAGACTGCTAAAAATGGCAGAGCCCAAACTTAAATCTAGATCTTGGGCACCTCTGGCTGAACTTTTTTCAATGAATCCCAGTACCTCCAGTCCATGGTGGGTGTCCTTACCTGTGATGTAGCAGGTGACCTGTCTGTTCTGTTCAGAGATGTCAGCATCCAGGGTCTTCAGAGTGACCACAAGCTCACCAGGTTCACTATTCTCAACCACAGATCCTCTGTAGTCTTCAGAAGCAAATCGAGGAGCATTGTCATTCTCATCTGTAATGGAGACCTCCACCAGGGCCTGAGAGGACAGCTGGATGGTCTGTCCATGGTCATAGGCCACCACATAGAAGTGGTAGTTCTGGCGGGTCTCACAGTCAAGTTCCTGGAGGGTGGTGATCCAGCCGCTCTCGCTGTCAATGGAAAAGAGCTCATGGATGTTGCTGCCAGTCTCCATGGACAACCTGTAGCTCACCTGGCCATCACTCCCTGTATCTTGGTCATTAGCAGTCACTTGAATGACTGTGGTACCCCCCGGCATATTCTCKGTAAGGAAAGCCTTGTATGGATCAGCCTCAAATATAGGCCTGTTGTCATTGACATCTTCCACTTGGATGTTGACTGAGACTAAGGACACCAAATCAGTATCCTCATGGGGGCAATGTGCCATCAGATCAATCTGGTACCATTTGGTGGACTCATGATCCATGGGCTTCCTCACTTTTAGGACCCCCGTGTCTCCGTCCAGAGAGAAGACACCGTCCTTATTGCTCTCTGGTGTGGTGCCCTGCACCAGACTGTAGATGACTGGATCTTGAGCTGCCACTGCTTTAACAACCCCAATTTCAGACCCTTCTGGAAGATCTTCAGAAGCTGAGAAAGTATACAGGGGCTCAGAAAATTTGGGCAAGGACACTTCATTAGGAACAACCTGAAGTCGTACTGGCACCAGAGAGCCCCAGTGAGGGGGACCCCCATCTTGGGCTTTGATTTTGAAGTCGACAGCCCTGTTTTCCAGCCCCACCAGGCTCTCTTTCACCTTGACCACACCAGTGGTTGCATTGACTTCAATGATGTTTTCATCCAGGTCCTCTATAGAGTCCACTGAGTAGGTGACATCTGCATTCCGACCTTCGTCTGCATCGTAAGCCAGCACCTGGATAATGGGGGAGTCTTTACTGACGTTCGATGGGATGGACAGGGTGTACCCGGATGCTTTGAACTGTGGAGGGTTGTCATTTTCATCTGTGAGGATGATCTTCACGGTGCAGAAGGCCACTCTTCCTCCTCCGTCWCGGGCCATCACCTTAATAGCTATGACTCTTTCTGTTGAATTTTCTCGATCCAGTTTCTGCAGAGTGGTGATCTGGCCACTGGGGTTTATGGAGAACTTTTCATCTGCGAGTTTGTTAATGATAGTGTAGTCTACAGTGCCATAGGGACCACTGTCCTTGTCTATGGCTAATAACTCAATCACCTTGGTGCCCACCCTTGCATTCTCGGCTAACTCTGCCTCATAAACATGCTGCTGGAATTCTGGGCTGAACTTGTTGGCATTTGTAGTGTTTATATACACAGGCACCGTTGCTCGAAAGACCCCATCAGAAGCCCCTACCCTCAAATTGTAAAAAGAGTCCAGGTGCTTTTTGCAAAGATTGAATGTAGAAATGATGCCTGACGAGCTGTTGATGGAGAAGTGCCGGTCCTGATTGCCAGAAAGAATCAGGTACTCCAGATGGGAGGCGTCCTTGCTGTCAGGATCCAGAGCTTGAACTTTAAGAACCAGGTGTCCACAGGTTGCTAACTCACTGACATTGGCTTCATACTGAGGTTGTCTGAACTCTGGGGGGTTGTCATTGATGTCAGACACATTGACAACCACAAGGGTCTCACCAGTGAGCGGAGGGTCTCCTCTATCCATGGCCCTGACCTTCACGTGAAAGTGTTGCCGTGCTTCATAATCCAGCTCTTGAACTGTGAACATCTCCCCCGTGCTCCCGTTGATCTGGAAGAATTTGGAAACGTCAGAGCCATCCTCCACGATCTCATAGGAGACATCCCGGTTCTGTCCTGAGTCTTGATCCGAAGCCAAGAGTTGGATCACAGGAGTCTGAGCAGGCAAGCCTTCTGACACTGAAGTGGTATACACCAATTGGGAAAAAATTGGAGGGTTATCATTAATGTCCTCCACCAGGACTTCCACTGTGGCTTCAGAAAATGACCCCAGGGCTGTGTCTGTGGCCCTGACCGTGAACACATGTCTGCTCTTAGACTCATAGTCCAAAGGTCCTGTCACTGTGAGAACACCTGTCTTAAAATCAGTGGTGAAGAGCATCAAGGGCTCTTCCTCCACAATGTTGTAGATAAGCCTGAGTCCCTCTGGACTCCGGGCTTGGGTGTGGAGAATTGGGGTATAGAGGGTGATATTTTCAGGTACTTTGATTTTGTAGTAAGGACTCTGAAATAGTGGGTTGGATTTATTTCTCACAGTGACAAGAACCTCTTCCTCAGTCTGTAGGGATGGGGTTCCTCCATCCCGGGCAATRACTTTGAGGCGATACTTATTTAAAGCTTGATAATCGAAGGGCTTCTTGAGCGAGATGTCCCCAACATAGGGGTCAATTCGGAAATAGGTATAATCTTCTGCAAATGCATATGTGACTGTCCCATTTGCCCCCAAGTCCTCATCAGTGGCAGATACCTGAAAGAGGACATCCCCTGGCTCTGTGCCATCTTGGATGGTTGTGTAATAGGGCAGATGCTTGAATTCAGGAGGATTGTCATTGACATCTTCAACAGAGACTCTGACTAGAGCCTGAGCCACTCGCGGAGGGATCCGATTGTCCCTTACTTCCACTGCCACCTCGTGAGTGTCCTGCTGCTCTCGGTCAAATGCCACTCCTCTTGTTTGCAGCACACCTGCTGACTTCACCATATGAAACAGATCTGTGCCATTCAAGAGAAAGTAGGACAAGGTGTCATTCAAATGATTGCCCTGGACATTGAAAATCACCAGGGACTTTCTGTCCTGCAGGTTCTCCTTCACTCTTGCCCTATAGACATCCTGATCAAACTGTAAACTTTTGTCAAGGACGTGGGTCAAAGAAATTTTTACCAGTGCAGTATCTTGATACAAGCCATCGGAAGCCCTAATGGTGAGCTTCCGAGAGAGCCCCAGGACAGCAGGATTCAGCACAGATATTCGACCAGTGACGGGATGAATGGCAACGGCTTCATCAGCATTGCCAGTCTTGATGCTATAATTGACTTCCGAATCTTCGTCACTGGCCCTCACCACAAGGAGCTCCATTCCTGGATGGATGGGTTCCACGATGGCCACTTCATATATCTGCTCTGCGAACCTGGGAGGAGAGTCGTTCACATCTCTGACATTGATAATGACCCTCGCAGGCCTGGGTGCAAATAAGATGGGGCTCCCTTGGTCATGGACGTAGACGCTGAACTGGAAAGAAGGCATACTCTCATAATCCATCTCTGATGCAATGGTTAGGGTGCCCATGCTGGGATCAATTTGGAAAAACTTCAAGGCCTCTGGCTCTAAAATTTTATACACCAACAAGGAATTCGCTTCCTTGTCGACGTCAGAGGCGTGAATCACAAARGGGTTGTTGTCTTCATCCATGATCATGCTGTGCAATGGAGCTGCTTCGCTAATTTGGCCCACAAAAGTTGACTTCAAGAAMGTGGGAGCGTTGTCATTGTCATCAATTATGTAAGCAAGCACCACGACATCCGTAAAGGCACCTGCCATGTTGCTGCCTCGGATTTTCAGCTGGTAAGAGGAGATTTTCTCATGGTCTAACTTCTTCTGGATGGAAATGAGGCCAGAATATGAGTTCATAGAGAAGACGCCATCTTTGTTTCCCTCTCGCAACTCATAGGTAACTTCAGAGGAGCTGGTAGCAGAGACAAGGATGATTGGGGAGCCAATGGGGATAGACTCTGGGATCTCCACAAAGTACTCAGATTTTGAAAAGATGGGTGCACTGCTGTCTGAGGGGTACACATGAATGATCACTGTAGCCAGGTCATGCCAACGTGGGAAGCCTTGATCTTCTGCCTTCACTGTCAAAGTATGCCGAGTGTGATTTGCTCGGTCAAGTTTCTGGGCTACGGTTATGATGCCTAGTAGGGTATTGATGTTGAAGAAACCCTCACTGTTACCTGAAATGCAAGACAAAACTAAGTTTACCATATTTTCAAGAGAAATGAAGTAGGATTCTAGATCAGTAAAGAGACTGTTACAGGGGCTGGGCTATGGCTCAGAGGTAGAGTACTTGCCTCGTATGCATGAGGCCCTGGGTTTGATCCTCAGCACCACATAAAAATAATTAAATAAAATAAAGATATTGTGTCCATCTACAACTAAAAAATATTAAGAACAAAAAGACTATTGCACAAAACTTAGAGCAAAATCCGCATCCTGTGCCACCCCGGATTTAGTGTGATGTAGTGTATAGGGTAAATAATCACTTTATTGAATCCCTAAGGTGGCGCACATAGTAGGAACTTCATAAATGGTGCTTCAGTTATCACTAATTCTCTGAGACACAACTTAATCTACAAACCAAAGTTGTAAGAGGTCTTTGAAGCCAAGAAAGGAGACTCACACTTTACAAAGCACACTTCAACACTTCACCCTGAATTTCAGTTGTGCCTTTTGTAGGAAAAGCTTCAATTATATTGTAGAGCACCTTAAACCATTCTTCACACAACTTCTAATAGTTATGGCTATATACCTAAAATGTGAAACTATAAATATGAAGTCAGAACTGATAGGGACTTTAAAAATMACCTTGTCCATTCCCTTTATGGTCTCTAGTAGGAAAGTCCTGGCTAAGGATTGGGTGAGGAGTCGGGTTCAAAGGGATTGGACAGATAACCTGGATCTTGATACTGTTGTATACCAGTGACCTCCTACCACATCTTATTTCCTAAACTTCAAGCTTTCTCACATCATCTTTATATTTTTTTAAACATCCAACCACTGCCTGTATTATTTTATAATATTATTTAATGAATATTTTCCTTTGAGTTGATGCATTCATAAATTGTTAAATATTTTTAAAAGGTCACTGTATGTTGCTACCTTAAAAAATTATCCTTTGTCATAAATCGAGGATACAATAAAATAGACAATKAAAACAATCTTATAAAAACTTGAATAAAATGTATTCCTTGCTCAAGAGTCTGAGTCTGAGACCTATTCTCCTTCTTTGGTAAAAATAACAAGTAATGGGAATTAGGACAAAATATAAAAACATTAAAAAATAAGAAGTTGTGTTTTTTGCATGGAAAACAATACAAAATTTAATTTAACTGTAAAGTAAATTAAGATTTTATGGCTAATTTTTTAAAGAGAAAGAGTGAGAAAAGACTGAAGAGATTCTAGTCCCCAAATCAAGGTTTGCCCTCAATTGGAACAGGAAGTTTGATAGGCATCAGCAACAAAGCACCTTCTTCTCGCCTGATCACCTGCTCAGTGGTATGACTGAGTAGCCCCTGGGTTAGTTTGCTGACCACCAGATATACAGGCTCACATTCAGGGGACTATCACTCTCCACATTTCTTATTCTGTTTACCACATGGGTGTATAGTTATGATATCAGTGGCAAAGATAACAGCTGAGATTCGTCATAAGACTTTCAATCCATGCCTTCCACACTTGGAAACCCTTCTCCAGCTGATTGTTTGGGTGGTCTGTGATACAGGTGCCAAACTCAGTCAAAAACTCAGGTTTATAGTGGTTCCCTTAAAAGTCGATAAGTTAACTGTGTAGACATAACTCTAATTCTCATTTCTTATATTACTGTGAGTAAAAATCAGGGCACAAGATTCTATATCTGTTATGATCTCAATAYCACAAAAAGATGCTAGAAAAAGATGAGAGACAAATAGACAAAATTGTTATCTCTGGGTGAAGGTGATCATGTTTCAGTGTTATGTTCTTCTTTATACATTCCTGTATTTTCCATATTTTCAAAAATGGACATGAGTTACTCCTATACTCAGAAGAACATTTGAAAACTATCTGTAAAATAAAAYCATTTTCTTCATCAGAAGGGCTGACAGTGAGGTGAAATTGGATAACAGATGTGATTATAYTTAATAAATCACAAAAAGTAAACAATCTATGTATTATAATTTATATTCTTTAGGTATGAATGGATTTCTGTCACATGGAAAATATTTCTTCAAAACAGAAAATGTAAAATGCTCTGATTTTTTGAGCATAAACAACCATTATGCTCCGTGAGAATAGAGAGTAAGCCATGTTCATCTCAGTTCTTCCAAAGAAACTAGCTCTATAAAGTATTAACTATCATTAAAGATAATTATTATTAAATGTCATTAATTATACATTATCAGCCACTACAAATTATAATTAATAATTAGTTGGCTACTGGATATTATCACTTTTGTTACATTAACTACCTATAATTGACCCTTATCAATGATCATAATAATAAYCCCTGGCATTTATATAATCTTTTACAGTTTATGACATTTATTAACATACATTGTATCTTTGAATCTTTTATAACAACTTTCTAGAAAAATACTATTTCCGTTTTTTTGAGATGATGAAAACCATGGAGCAGACATTAAATGATTATATGACCTTAGCAGAAAACAGAAGTTACTCCTAAGACTGCCATACACCTAATACCTAAAGTATTTACACATCTCTTTTAATGTACATGCATGAAGTCATTGCATTTTAAAATGTTGCATGGGCTTCAAAAGCATCTTATGCATATGTGGTCATTGGTGGTTTATGTCATATATATGTAAAGTCTCCCATAACTTGAGTAGTCCCTTTACTATTGTTATTGCCATCTTTGGTTGTGCCATAACTTAGGTCATGATAGTTCAAGGGAATGTTCTAGAACTGATATTTATCAAAGCCTGGAGATTTTGTGACTTGATTAATCTGAAAATTCATGCCTCTAGTGCTTTCCTGTATTTTCAAAGCAGCATTTGCCATCCTCTGAACTCATGGCCAGGCCTCTCACCTTTCAGGAGGGAGTAGTGGACCACAGCATTGGCACCCCGGTCAGCATCCTCAGCTCGGACCTGGAGCAGCTCTGTGCCAGGGACTATGGTGTCAGGAACACTTGTCTCATACCGGAGCTGGGTGAAGTGTGGTGGGTGGAGGTTTCCATCCTCCACATGAATGGTCACCCACACGAAGTTCCTCTTGATGGGCATCTCTTGGTCTCGGACCTGCGGGCCCAAGGGGGTATTAGCAAAAGGAATGGAAGGAGACAGGGCTAGAGATTAAGGTCAATAAATAGGATGCCCATGAAACCTTACCAAATTGTAACTCTGCATATGTCTTTAAATCTTGATCCAATCTATGGTCTATTTTCTTTTTACAAATAATTATAATTAGACTTAGCTAATTTAATGGATAATTTCACTTTGGGACAAAGGCAGAAATAGGCAAAGAAACAGTATTTTCCAGATAAGTCCCCTGAAGACTTTAGTTCTTTGTTAACATGATACACAGGAAAAAAAAATATATGGTCAAGTAAATTTGGGAAGCACTGAATTAAAGGGAGCAAATCAGTTTTCATTGTCACAGGATTTCTCAGAGGCTTCAATATACACTAATGTGCCTAGAGGGTGATACAGGTAAGAAACTTGACCCCCACAACAGGAAGACAGAATTTTTTTWAAAAATTAAAATTTATGGAGGCTTTCACTCTCAAGGTCATAAAAATGTATACACAAGACCCAGAGTTTTGGGTCCTGTACCTGCTTGCCTGACCCTGGTCCTTGCTTTGGGTATGAGGGTCTTATTTTATTTGTGTTTTTGTTTGTTTGTTTTTGTGATGCTGGGGATTGAACCCAGGGCCTTGTGCACGTGAGGCAAGCACTCTACCAAGTGGGCTATATCCCCAGCCCCTGGGTATGAAGCTCTGACTCTTTATCAATCCACATGGTAGTCATAAAGTCATGGTGTGGGAAAAGATTTGTTGGGAGATATTTGGGGTGAGTCCAGAGAAAGCCAAGGTCCACAGGAATTTCCTTGCCAACCACCCTGTCTCTTGTTTTCATTCCAGGAATCCCCTATGGAAGATGCCTCTGGCCAGCAGTGAAATATCCCAATTCTCTCTCTTGAATTCTCTTGACAGCATCAGCACATCCAGTTTATCAGTGATGAAGGATGCTTCCACATGCCTCCCAGTGTGTCCACCCCCCACACCCACTCACAACCACACCCTCACCSGCTTCTTCAGTGTGCTCACCATAACCGTCAGTGTATGCTGGGAGGGCCCTGAGCCCAGGTCCAATTTCCCCACGGTTACCAGGACACCACTGCTTGGGTCCAGCTGGAAGAGGCTGGTACTTTCCGGGTCTTGGCTGCCCTGGATGGTGTAGATGAGTCCCTTGCCCTTGTCCTGATCTGTAGCCTGGACTCGGAGGAGCTCGACCCCAGGCAGAGTGTCCTGGGGGACTCTGACCTCATAGTGAGCCTCCAGAAACTGAGGCCTGTGATGGTTAATGTTGGCAATCATGAAAATGTAGACCTAGGGAGGACACACACACAGAGAAGGGGGACTGTGAACTGCATGGGGACAAGGACAGTGTCTGTCTGAATCTCCACTGAACCATCCATGCCTAGCACAGTAGCTGGCACACAGAGTCATTATCACTCGATAAATATTTCCAGAATGAATGATGGAATCTCAAAATCACCAGGCTTTCAGAACACCGTGCTGTCTTATGGTTTTTCAAAAATAAAAATTTTATAAACGAGCCTTTTCTTCAAATTAAAAGTTATGTAAAATTCCAATATATGAAACAGAAAAAAAAAACTATGGTAAAAATCCAGAGTAGAAATCTAGAAACCCATGACCTGCCCATCATTCATCATACCCATGGTAGCCCCTCAGGAATTCTATCTTTAACTAAAACTTCTCATTTAGGCAAATCCCTTCATCATATAGAGCTCCACTGTGGGAACAAACATTATTCCAAGATCATAGAAGTAGGGTGTGGATTATGTAAAACTGGATCCCAGAATTTTCATTTCAGATTCTTTGAGGTCCACCACATCCACAGAAAACTTTCTGGAACCTCATTCCAACCAAGACCACCTCCCATCTCCTCTCCACTCAGGCACTGCCAACTGAGTCCTCTAACCTGGGTGGCAATGGTGTGGAACCCATCTGTCACCTCCACAGTCAAGTTATAGCTTGACCTTCTCCGTGTATCAAGAGGCCTGGCGATGATGATGCTGCCCGTGGTCTTCTCAATGTCAAAGTCCATGTCCTTATCCCCACCTGGAGGGGCAGTGGAGAGAAAGAAGCACACACAACACAACCTCAGTGACGCAGGTGGCAGCTGCCTAACTGGCATCTGGTCCTCAGATTTAGAGCACGTGGTAAAGGTACTGTGGACGTTCAAGGAAGAATCCGAATCAGAGATTCTAAGACTATTCCAAGGTGATATGTTATCTGAATGACAGGCTGGAATTGATCYGCACCAGAGTCCAAAGAGCTGTAGGCAAACTACTGTGATAGTCTTATGCCTAGAAAATAACTCTGTTCGATAAGAAGGAGAGGATTTAATAAACTACAAGAATCCAAGATATAGAATAACATGAAACTACTTCAATGTGTCCTGTTTAGTGATATGGAAATGTATTCACCATCTCTGACATTTGAAATATTAGTAAATAATATGTTAATATAACTCTTTATATGTGCRTGTGTGTACATACACACATGTGTGCATAAAGAAACACATCAAAAGTGTAATGATGGATTATCTTCTGGTTGATGGGACTTGTGGTAATTTTAATTTTCTTCCCCGTATTCATTTGTGTTTTCTTACTGTTCTATAGGGTGCATGCATTATATAAAGGAAATTATGTGTAATGGGAAAATAAGTCAAACAAATAGAAGAGAAGGCAATCAGAACTGAAAGTAAGACCAGGAGGTCAAAGAGATTGGGCCAAATGCAGATCTTAAGCTTATCTCTGAGCCAAGGCTGAAAACTATGGAAAACTCTCTGAGCCAGGCTGAAARCAGAACTCCCTGCCTGTGTGGGTACTGAACTCCTAAGAGATTTTTAATGTAAAAATTTCAGAGTCTATAAAACCTCTACATTTCTATGCAAATTTACATATGTGGGTGTGCATATGTGTTCATACAACATTTTGGTGTTGTGGGCCAGGCTATATGGGCAATGACCAAACAGAYTCYATTTTGCCCTGAGACTCCACATCATGTAAGAAATGCTTCTCCCAGGGAAAGCCCTACCTCTGTACTCATCAATAGTTGATTAGCATAGCATGTTTGGCAACACAAAATGGCAATTCTTATACAATGTAAAAGTGTTC